AGACTCCTCATGCTAGTAAGACTTACAAGAAACAAACAAAGCAACTTGCTAATTTATTTATTTACAATAAGAACATAATTGCCAAGAAAACTGTAACAGCTGGAAAGTCAAGTTGTAACCAGAGAGTTGTTTAGTAAACATGGATTAAGTCCAGAATACTTTGGTCATCCGCTTAGTAAAAGCTTCCTCTCTTCTCTCTTCAGCCTCTTCTCAGAAAGCTCCTAACTGTACTGAGCACAAACTGACAACTTTTTGCTCTCTGACTCCCCTTTATGCACACAATACTATTAACACATTATTTAGAATCACCTAGCTAGAACTAAGTAAATCTTAGGACTTAGTTTTTGAATAGCAACTCATACAAAGAAATACTGTCCAGCAACCAAAATAATTGAGATAATTCTAATCTTATGCCTCTTTTTTTTTTTTTTTTTTTGGTGAGGCAGATTGGCCCTGAGCTACCCTCTGTTGTCAATTGTCCTCTTTTTGTTTGCAAAAGATTGTCATTGAGCTAATATCAGTGTCCATCTTTCTCTATTTTGTATGTGGGATGCTGCCACAGCATGGCCTGATGAGCAGTGTGTAGGTCTGTGCCTGGAATCTGAACCTGCGAACCCCAGGCCGCCCAAGCAGAGCGTGCAAACTTAACCACTATGCCACCAGGCCAGCCCCTTGACTTGTGCCTCTTAAAAGATTTTATATGCTACATATGCTATATATGTTTAAATTTTGAAAACTCAAATTTATAGAAATCCCAAACTTACAGAGAAGTTGCAGATACAGTGCAAAATTTTTTTTTCCTGAATAAACCATTTGAGAGTAAATTGCTAATATCCTACAGGTACATTCTCCTGCAAACTAACAAAGCAACCATCAAAACCAGGAATTTAACATTGATACTTTATTACCATCTAACGCTCAGACTCCCATTCAAGTTTAACCAATTGTCACAAGGATGCCCGTTACAGCCAACCGATCTAGTCCAGAATCATGTGTTGCATTAAATTGTTGTATCTCCTGACAGTCTCCATAAGTCATAGAAACTCTGCTCCATATCCTCTTCTCCACACCCATTCTCTTATTCCCCATTGGTGCTCTGGAGTTTCTCCTTCAATCCCTTCTTCCCTTCTCAATGCGAACCTCCTGATACCCAGCTTTCCCCTTCCCACCTGTCTCTTCAGTGCCTTCTCTCAGCTCTGTACCACAGAAGCTGGGGAGCCAGGTCGATAACTTGCAGAGGAGGAGGTGAAGGCAAAATTCTCCTTCGTTGGTAGGTTAGGGGACCAAGGGGCAAGGCTGATATTATACATATGTCCATACATTTTGTTTTGTCAGTCTTTCCTGAGTTTATCTCAATGGCCTCTTGATTTATTCAGAATGTTCCTAAATATCTTTAGTATATATTTACATCTTTTACATAGGTCATTAATATCTTGAGCCTCTCTCGTTTTCCTTCTTTTCCTTTGCCTTCCTTTCATCTTGTATCCTTTAGGATACCTTCAGTTCAAGTTACAGAAAACCCAACTCAAACTACCTTAAACAATAAAGGGGATTCATTATCTAATACCAACTTTAGGGTTAGTTTGATTCAAAGGTCAGACTTCCGCAACTCTCTTCTCTCCCATTTATACCATTACCTTATTTTAAGGCTGTTTAATTTTATACACCTTCTGGAACGAGTAGAACTCCTTCCTGGACCTATATCAGTAGTAGAAACATGCTTATCTCCCAGGGGCACCCAGAATATCTCTTCGCTTGTCTTCTGGGCCCAAACTAGGTCACATGCCCACCTTTGGACAAATAACTGACTGTGGTCAGGAGGCCGGATTATGCAGATTAGTTTGGGTGGATCCAGAGCCAGGGGTAGAGCTAGCTTTCCCCAAGTATGCAGTTCAAGTAGGGGAAGTGTAGATACCAGAACAACGTTCATGGTTATCAAGAGAGTGGGATATAATATTGGAGAGAAAATGACATTTTCCACTTTTTCTCCGTGTACTGACTACAGCGTGTCATTGCAAAAAAGCACAGAGGTTGAAGTTGGAGACTTGGTTAAACACTAACTTTGGAAATCCCTCTGAGCTATAGTTTCTACTTCTGTAAATTGACAATAATGTAAATATCTTCCACAGGGCTGGTGTAAAGACTGAATAATATGGCCATGTAAAAGCACACATTCATTTACAAAAAGTTTAAAGAGGGGCCAGCCTGTGGCCAAGTGGTTAAGTTTGCGCACTCTGCTTCTGCACCAGGGGTTCACCATTCAGATTCTGGGTGCAGACCTAGCACTGCTCATCAAGCCATGCTGTGGCAGTATCCCACTTGGAGGAAGTAGAGTGACCTACAACTAGAGTATACAACTATGTACTGGGGATTTGAGGAGAAAAAAAAAGAGGAATATTGGCAACAGATGTTAGCTCAGGGCCAATCTTCCTTAAAAAAAATGTTAAAAAGTTTAAAGAGTACAAGGTATGTGTCTGGCTCTGTGCTAGGTGCTGGGAATCAAAATAGGAATGAGACCAAGGACCCGCCTTCTTAGTCCAGTGGGGGGAACACACACATATAAGCAGAAATCTATAATATAATGCAGTGAGTGCAATGAGTACAAGCAGAGACCTGCCACCTAATCCAGCCCAAGGCAAACTGGAAGGAAGAAGATATCAGGGAAAGTTTCTTGGAGAAGGTGAACCCTGAGCTGTCTTAACGCTCTTCTTGGATTGGCCACATATGCTTAAAACCCCTTCAAAATAACACTTTAAAACTGGATTAAGGTCAAGCAGAACAGTGGAGAACATAAAAGAGCACTAGACAGTGCCACAAATTTTTGGAAGATGGAAAGTGAATGGAGGAATAGTAATTCCTCTAGCCAACTGATGGAAGTTATATCCTAAACTGCAAAGGTGAACCAATCAGAATTGGACCACTTTTGCCCGGAGATTTCTGAGAAAGTCAGGCTAGAAGGCCTCAGATCCATCCTTTTAAAATTTTTAGTCACTTAAAAAAATTGCAACCCCTATCTAGACATTTCTTTCCTTATCCTACTTCCTGCATTATTTTCTCCTCAGCATTTATACCTCTCACCATATATTTTACTTATTTATCATTTTTATTACATGTCTCTTCCAACTAGAATATAAACTCTAAGAGGATAGGGATTTTGTCTGTTTTTCTTTTTAATAGCTGCTTTGTTCATAGCTGGGACATATCAGGCACTCAATAGTATTTACAGAACAAATGGATGGATGGATAGATGGATGGATGGATGGATGGATGGATGAATAGCATAGCATAGAATAGAATAGCATAGTTCATGAAGTATGGACTGAGAGAAGGAGACATCAGTTAAAATTAGAGTTGATATTCCAGGTCCATTGCCCTGTTCCATACATTTAGGTGACCCCTTCCCAATGCTTCTATGCAACTGTACAAGATATAACCACCCCTGCCCCCAAAGAGATTGGAGCAGAAGCTGAATGGTCCCAGAGAAAAGATCTCACCTATTAACCCTGGGAAGTTCCCCAGTGAAAATCCCAGCTCATCTCCTGATCATTCTACAGAAGAGCCCACTAATGAGCCTGAGAGAAATGAGTCTCTGAGCATTCTCTCTTCTTCAGTTCTCTGTCCTGCAAACTCTAGCCCCCTTGCCTCCCTACACTCTGCTCCGTCTCCTTAACTCAGGGAGTCCACAGTCTTTGCCTGGATTCCCACACCCTGCACCAGGACCTGGAAACTCTCTCAAGACAGTGAGCAGGGACAACTGTGACCACCCACAAAGCTAGTGTTTCATTGAGTAGTAAAATTAAGGTAGAAAATGGCCAGATTTATCAAAACCCAGTCACCTGGCTCAAGGATATTCTAGGAGGAGACAGTTATGTGAATTATGCTTGGAGTAAGGTAACATATCTGGGAAAAGACTTCTAAAGTGTATTTCTGAGGAAGTACCCATACATCCAGAACCAAACTTGGTACCTCAGCAACATCAACCTTGTCTTCTAGGAACTTCCAGAGAGTCAATGCAAAGCATCCCACATTATCTATAAATAAATGAAATACAATTAATCAGCGATCAAGAATTTCTCCCATATTTAGTTATTTAGAAAACCCAAACCAAAATAACAAAACTTCGAAGACTGAAGGTAGTGCAGTCTCCCTTCCTGAAAACCCTAACCGAGGGCTAAGAATTTTCAAAGAAAAAGTAATTACCGCTAATTTCATTGGAGAAATTTGTACTCTTTATGTTGTCAGGACAATAGCAAATACCATAAACATGGACACAGTTACGTCAATAGTTAAAATTAGTTTGCGTAACCCGACCTAACAAGGTGGCCTGCCGTTATTATTTAATATGTTGTTTCAGCTCCTGCATACCGTGCAGTTAAAACTATGCACTCAAACAAAATAAACATACTTTATATTTGTGCAATTACAACTTTAACGTAAAAAAAGTAAAGGTTAAACAACTTCATGAAAACAATGCAAATGATGTATGAGATTATCATTGCTACAAACCAGCGAACTATTGGCATCCTGCGACGGCTCAACACACGCCAACCAGCTGAGCCAAGGACCTCAGGCTGCTTGAGCGGACGAAATCCGTGGGAAGAAATGCCCCCCTTAGCTACATTAAGGGTAAAGAATCGAAATCTGCGACCCCGAATGGGCGTATCTCGAGGCAGGACCCTTGCCAAAATAATATTTATTCTATGTGGGATGAATGTAACCAATTATTTCCTTTTCTGTATCCTTCAAATTTCCACTTTTAAATCGGGGCTAGCCTGGTGTCTCAAAAGTCTAGCGTTTTAATTCTGCTACCAAGAATTTAATACTTTAGTCAAATCATGTCCTCATCCGTGAAACTGGGGGTGAGGAGTTCGAATCTCCAAAATCCCCGCTAATTTTAAATTCCACGGTAAAGCAATCCCGCCTCCCGTAGGTTCGCCAAAGAAGTATTCTGGCCCTCTCGGCGTACCGTCCGCACAGCCTCCGGAAGCAATCCTTAGCCCCGCCCCCTGCGTTCAGGACGGCGCGAAAACCCAATTGACAAGAACTCCCTCCGAAGCCGGTGGGTCCGATCTACGTTCGGCTTGCTTTCCCCACGGGAGCCCGGGTCCCAAGCGCTAAGCCTGGAGCGTCCGCCTCTGGGACATCCCGCGCCCACCCGCCGCCCCCCGGGGTCCTCGCTGCCCGCGCTTTCTCAGCGCCTCTTCCCGCGTTCGACTGGGCAGAGCTGGGCCCAGCCTCCGCCACCGCTCCGAGCGGGTGGGCGTGGGGGAGTCCGAGACCGACCCCACGGCCCAGCTCCTCGCTCCTGCAGGAGCCGGCCGCCTCCATGGCCTCCAGGCAGGCCGGGCCGGGCCGCGCAAGGTCCTAGGAACCGGGATTCCAGGAAGCAGGGATTATGGTGGGGGTCTTGGCCATGGCGGCGGCAGCTGCTCCCCCTCCGGTGAAGGACTACGAGATTGAGGTGAGCTTGAGTGTCTCCGTCTGTTGCGGGTGGGAGAAAGGTGATCCCGACTTTGAATCTGTGAGGGGAAAGGAGGGATATGGTGAGGCCCCGCAGTTGTGACATTGTGTGGACCAATTGCTGGAGTATGCCTTTTCTGAAAGTCTTGGTAGGTCCTGACAAACAGGATTGTGAGATGTTTGCGGAGCTAGCTAAGTCAGGGCTTACGATATCGCGACCAGCGCCCAGATCCTGAAATGTTGCTGGAACTTGATGTTTTGGACTTGTGAAGTGTCATAGAGATCCCAGGATCAAGTCTGGGTTCGTGATAAGGAATCATAGAATTTTAGCGTTGAAAAGAATCTTTAAGTTCCATTAGTCCATCCATCTACCTGTTCTAGGACTACCGTTTAGATTGTCATTTCAGGAATCAAACAGGGTACTTAATTGAAAAATCGGCTTCTCACGGCTTTAGAGCTGAAGATACCGCAATTAGGAGCCTGCTGTTATTGTCATGTGTTCGTCAAGTTTCAGTGAAATGCACTAAGCAGTCATTATAAAGAGATTCTAATGCCATGAAGTAGTGCAGTGGCATTTTAAAGTGGACGATTGCTATATTTTTACACTTTTTCATCTCAAGGTAACGTTCTAACTGAAGTATGCATACTGGTGTCCTTACAGTGAGCCAAGATGTATGTCCACTTAGTTAACTGGGACTCTTTCTTACTTTTTAGAATTGAGTAACTTTTGTCTACTTGCTAATAGTTGTTATGCTGATGCTTGCTTCCTATATCAAGGCAGTTGCTCAGCTTGTCTCAAGTGTGAAGAAGGACTTTTGGTGCTTGAATTACACAGTTCTTGATTTTTGTGTGGTCAGTTTTATCAATCGTTTCGTTACAATTTCTACTTTTGGTGCCCTGCTAACAGAGCCTGTTTCATAGTAATAATACTGTATAGTATTTTAAGGGTAAAGGCCTTATACATGTTATTTTACTTAATATCAACTCTGCGATGAGTTATTATCTATATTCTACAGATGAGACAGGAAGTTTAAAAAGTAATTAAAAGTAAGTTAAGTTAGAAAAAGTAAATTAGAGAGTTAAAAGTAATTTGCTTAAGGTCGCACACTAGTAGATGTCAGAGCTAGCACTTGAACTTAGATCTGCCTGACTCCAGAGCCTATGGTATAGTGCCTCTGATACCATCTCAGGGTAATAGTAACACTGACAACTCGTTAGCATTTTCTTGTAATACATTTACTATTTCGTTTAAACATATAAAATTTTAATGTCTGTAATTTATTTTGCCTCATTTTATCCAGATGGTTAGAAATGTGCCCCAATACCATTTATTAATTACTTCTTTGTCCACTACTTGAATGCTCCTGTTATCATACACCTAGTTCTTAAATATATACTTAATGTCTTTTTCTGGTTTTCTGAGCCCTTCCATTAAGTTGCCTGCCTATTCATGCATCAGTACTGTGCTTTTAGTCATGATAGCTTTATATGTTTTCATTTTCTAGAAGTATAATTGCCCCATCCATTACTTATCTTTTGAAAAATTACCTTGTTATTCTGGCAAGTTTATTCTGACAAATGAACTGAGGGAAGTTAAAGAAAAACTGATAGAGCTTTTTGTAACTAATAAGCTTTTTCTATTATGTGTGGAGATGACTAAGAGAAACCTCGACCAAGTTGGAGTTGGAAGGCCTGGAGGGGAAATTCTCATACCCTATTATATATTGTCAATTACCCCAAACAGCAAAAGACCCCGGCTTGCATCTTTGACAGGAAGTAAAACTGCTTTACTACAGAGGGAAAATTTCTCTCCCCACCGCGGGTCAAGCCTGGCCAATGAGAAACACTGCAGCTCAGCCAATGGGGAGCCAGTTGTACCCTGAACTCTTACGTTTGCCCAATTGACTTTAGTTTCGAAGAGCCCCTCCCTATTCCCCCTTTTTCTCTATAAAGGCAGCTCCCCTCCTTTGTTTTCTGGATTTGCCTATGGTTTGCCATAGGCTGCACATCCTGAGTTGCAATTCTTTTGGCTATTCCTGAATAAGCTCATTTTGAGGATAAAATAACAGGCAGATTTGCTTTTTAAGTTGACCTATGTAAGTTACTAATTTATGGCCCAACAAAAATGTAACTTTTTAGCATTATAGTCACCTTGGTATTCTGAGGATAGTAAATAATGGAGGAGGCAGGCAGTAACTGTTTTAATAGCAAATTAAAACACTGGACAGTTTTATTTGTGCTAAATGTCCTTCACCACAATTTTTACTTGATAAGTAAATTTTGAGATCCTAGGCTTATTCACTATGTACTTATTTCTAAGAAACAGTTAGAATACTTTGTTTATTTTTAACAGTAAAGTAAAAATGGAATAGAATTAATATTTGTAGAGTCCCTATGATGCATCAGACTTCACATATTTTTATGTAATGTGTTCATTACAAATTCTGTGGGGTGGGTGGTACTATTCAAAGGTTATAGAGTAAACAGAGGCCAACTGAAGTGAACACATTTGTGCATAAGTATAGTAGACTTGAGACTTTATTGAAGTATAGTATATATCTAGTAAAGCACACAAATTATTAGTGTATAATTTGATGTGACATTGAGACTTGAATATAGGTTTAACTTTAAAGCTCTTTTTCTTTCTAATATATATCATGTTTGTCACCTAAGGGAGCCTTCCCTTTTTTTATCCAATTACATAAAATATTAGATCTGGGGCTGGCCTGGTGGCACAGTGGTTAAGTTCTCACGTTCTGCTTCAGCAGCCCAGGATTTGCTGGTTCGGATCCCGGATCCGGACATGGCACGGCTTGGCGTGCCATGCTGTGGCAGGCGTCCCACATATAAAGTAGAGGAAGATGGGCATGGATGTTAGCTCAGGGCCAGTCTTCCTCAGCAAAAAGAGGAGGATTGGCAGCAGATATTAGCTCAGGGCTAATCTTCCTCAAAAAAAAAAAAAAAAAGTAGATCCATGTTTAAAATTTATGTTTTGTATTATTTTGCTTGAAATAAGTGCTTTTTTTCTTCTTTTAAATTGATAGGCATGCAAAAAGCGAAGGAAAGATGACGACAGATCTTCCTGCGAAACAATTACAAAATATTTATCACCAATAGGGAAAACCGGAGACAGGGTTTTCTCTCCACCAAAATCCAGTAACATTCTGCATTATTTTAGAAAGACTTCACCCACAAAGGAGAAGACTCAATCAGCAAAAGACTGCGAGATCAAGTCATCTCCACCATTGCCTGCGAACAGTGGCAAAGACTGTAAATCACCTTTGCAAGTGTTCTCAAATACACAGTTTCAGAAGAGAGGAAAGAGAGTTAACTTAGCTCATCAACTAAATAATATTACAACTGAAAATGAATCTCCAATTGAAATTAGCAGTGATGATAGTAAAGAACACTCTAGTTTAAATAATGATTTTGTGGAGAGTAGTACTTCTGTTTTACTTGACAAAAAACATGTAGAGGTACTTACAGAAAGGATTCAAGATATCAAAAAGCAGTCAAGCACTATGGCCCCCAAAAAGAGTTCTAAGAAAGTAAATTCTAAACAAAGGACCACAAAAAATCATTGCAAAAAATTGAGAAAAAGGAAGTACAGGGATGTAATAGACCTATCAGAAAGTTTACCCTTGGCAGAGGAACTAAATCTCCTTCAAAAAGATGTTAAAGACAGTAAATGCAGTATGCCTTCCCTAACTAATGAAGTGGAGAGGATTGCAAATGATGCAGGCTCTGGAGCTCCTGTAACTAAAACAGCCCAGTTAACTGATGGTATGGTCACTGTCTCATATGAGGAATTTTTAAAAAGTCACAAGGAGAATAAAGTAGAACACACACCAGACTCTGCAATGTCAATTTGTACTCCTTCTGAAACTGTTGAAGACGCAGTCAAAAGTGATTGTATAAGTGACACAGAAACCTGTGAAATTACCCAACCTGTACGCTTTAAGACAGTTACCGTTCTTGCACAAGTTCATCCTATCCCCCCAAAAAAGACAAGGAAAATACCCTCAATTTTCTTGAAACACAAGCAGTTAGAAATGGAAAATAGTCTGTCTGATCCTGAAAATGAACAGACAGGTCAGAAAAGAAAATCTAATGTTGTCATACAGGAGGAAGAATTAGAATTGGCAGTGTTAGAAGCTGGAAGTTCTGAAGCTGTGAAACCAAAATGCACTCTAGAAGAAAGGCAGCAGTTTATGAAAGCATTTAGGCAGCCAGTATCAGATGCACTTAAGAATGGAGTCAAAAAGTCTTCTGATAAGCAGAAAGAGCTCAATGAAAAACCTTTAAATGAGGATGGAAGAGACAGTAATTCCAAAAAAGTCATGAGAAATCCTAGTGTCGAAATGGTTTCAAATAATGCCAGTTCACAGTCACACACTGATAAAGGAAGTTTTCCTAAGGAGAAAAGTAAAAAGCTGAGGAAAAAGGGTAAGAAAATGCTAGATACTGGTGCTACTCTAGGTGAAAATAGAGAGGGAAATACTCAAAAGCAAGAAACAACTTTTTCCTTTAAAGATAAACAAAATCAAAATAGGCTTAGAATGAGTTTAAGACAAAAGAAAACAGAAGGTTTCAAAAGGAACACATTATTTAACAGTGAAAGTCTTGTTTGTGAAGGTACAGCAAATGCTAACCCTCTAACTATACCTTCTTTGTATAACAAGAAGACTTCGAGAAAAACCAGCGTGCCAGTTAAGGATAAGGTTACACATTCTAAAGCTGAAACTGAGGACAGCTTGGTAAATATTTCCACACCCAAATCAACTAGAAGATCTGTAAGAAATAGCAGCACGCCTACTGCAACAGTCATTAGAAGTACTGATTCTGAAGATGCACAAGATGGTAGTCCCATAAAGGCTTCCACTCCAAAAGCACCCAACTTATCAGAAAAGCACAGCTTATATACAGCAGAATTAATAACAGTACCCTCCGATTCGGAGAGCCCTATTAGGTAAAGTTTTGTTTTTGTTCTGAAGTTCTAAGTATTCTGCATGTATTATTCGCTGGGAAGAAAAATACTTCAAGCATTGGAGGATATTGTTTTTTCTAGAACACAGCTGATTTATAAGAAAAAGAAAACGGCTTCAAAAATGCTGCTTATTTTCCACATTTAGTTTAAAGTCAGGCATGATTCCAGAAGAATTCTGGATGTATATTAGATGAATTCTAAACTTTTATTCATCACAGTTGCTAGTCCCTGGAGAAATATCCCTCAAATGTGAATTCTGTACATTTAACAAAACATGAGATTAAAAATAAATTATAGAACTTTATTTCTTGGCTAAACTGAGCCGTATACTGTGAGGTATATATTTGATGCTGATTCTGACTAATATAAGAGTGATCTTAGGGGCTAATTTTCTGTAAAGCTTATGATTTCTAAAAGGAAACATTTTGTATTTTCTAAGAGTTTAACATTGAGTTTGGCTTACTTTTGAGTCAGTAGTTTGAAACTAATGGGGAGTGTTTTTGTTTTTTAAAACTGTCCAGAAATTGGAGCCCTGGTTGGTTTTATTCTGTATTTAATTGAAATTTTTACACACTATAATCATGAAAATGCTTCTGAATATCTGTTTTTTCTCCAGAATGAAATTCACCAGAATTAGTACTCCCAGAAAATCTAAGAAAAAATCAAAGAAAAGATCTGAGAAATCTGAAGCAACTGATGGAGATTTTACTTCTCAGACTAGAAAGGTAATTGAAATATTAGGGAGTCTTGTAAGTGGTATTCTCTTTCCTAAAACAGCAACAATTGCTAAGGGAAGTAATACACTAAAGGAAGATTCGCATACTTCATAGCTTGGTTATATTAACTTCAGCCCTAGATTACTTGTCACTATTTCATACCTTTAGTTTATTAAGAAATCAACCTATCTTATTGTGAGATGAAAGCAATTGATAAGAACAGTGTAATTTACTTAGAAAAAGTTTTGTTAGTGAGAGTTACCTTCCACTCATTTTCCTTAAGGCTGCTTATAGGTCATGATTGAATTTCTGGTTTATTTCTCTAGAATAGAGGCTGGAAAGTGGGATCTTTCAACCCAGTACTGTTGACATTTTGGGCTGGATAATTCTTCGTTGTGGGAGACTGTCTTGTGTATTATAGAATGTTTAGCAGTAGCTGGGGCCTCTGCCCATGGGATGCCAGTAGTACTCCAACTCCCCTAGTTATGATAACCAAAAATGTCTCCAGACATTGCCAAGTATCTCCTCAAGGGAAAACATCACCCCCAGTTGAAAACCGCTACCATGAAGGGAGCGGTGGGATATATAAGGATGGTTTAGCTGCTTTTGCAAAATAAGCTGCTTATCCCCATCACAAGAGAACTAGATTCTCTCCAGGATAGCAGGTAAAGGTATGTGTGTTTTGAAAAAGCCACCAAGGTGATAATAATCCTTGGCTGACAATCACTGCTACAGAAAGTTGGCATCTCTTCTGTTTTTTATTTAACAGCTATCATTTTTTCTACTGCTTATCACGTACTATCTTATGCTTAGTACTCATATTGAGCTCATGAAGTAAATATTTAACTCTGTTTTGAAGGACAGTGGGGCAAAGGAGGAGAACGTTTTTAGGAGTGGCTGAAGTGGTGTACAGTGGAATCTAAGCTGGGTGGAGGGAAGCAAGGGCTGATAAATAGGGAGCGAGTAGAGAGCTGTGAGGACTGAAGTTCCTCATGTAGTCAGGAGTGACCAAGTCAGAGCTGGGAGGATAGGCAGCCAGGTCAGAAAGTAGGGTGTTGGAAATGACTATTTTTGAGGTGATAGGATTATGGTTAATTTTAATTTTCTTTATTTTTCTGTTTTTCTATAAATAAGAACTTTTAAAAACTTATCAGAAAACTATTAGGAAAAAACAGATTTCAAGTGTAGTCATGCACCGCATAACGACGTTTCAGTCATTGACAGACTGCGTATACAATGGTGGTCCCCTAACATTAGTAGTAGGCTATACTATCTAGGTGTGTGCAAGTATGCTCTATGATGTTTGCACAATGACGGAATCACATAACAATGCATTTCTCGCAACTATCCCCATCATAAAGAGACGCATGACTGTGATAGCAGAACCGCTTGCCAAAATGTATATGTGTATGGTTTTTTTCACACATTCAGTAAAACATATCTCTTTGTACTAACAATTTGTTTCAATGATTGCGTTGTTAATTTAAATTTAGGTGGATTATTTTGAATACTAACTTTCTATAAGGTTCATCAGCCTGCCAAAAATTTTGCTAGCAGAACAAGAACAAAAATCTATCACTCTGCTCCTATAGGAGCAAATCCTTAACATTCCAAACCTTCTTCTGTATGTGTTGAATGTCTATGCCTATTCTTTTTAATGATTTTTTAAAAGATTTTAAAGGTCTTAAAAACCAGCAAACGTTTGTTTAAAAAAACAAACAGAGAAGTATGTAAAATTAAAAGTGAAGGGGCTGACCCAGTGGCGCAGTGGTTAAGTTCGCATGTTCTGCTTCAGCAGCCCGGGGTTCACTGGTTCACATCCCAGGTATGAACCTGTGCACTGCTTGTCAAGCCATGCTCTGAAAGGCATCCCACATATAAAGTAGAGGATGATGGGCATGGATATTGGCTCAGGGCCAGTCTTCCTTGGCAAAAAAAGAGGAAGATTGGCAGCAGATGTTAGCTCAGGGCTAATCTTCCTCAAAAAAAAAAGAAAACTTTTTTTTTTGTTTTCTCACTCCTACTGTCTCTGGGTGACCCACTTTTAATAGTTACTTGTTTATCCTTCCAGACTTTCCTATGCTTAAATATATGAAAGATACTTTCATATATGCTTAAGTAGATATATGCCCTTTTTAAAGGGGATCCTACAATTTACACTGTTCTGCAGCTTCCTTGCTGTGTATTTTTAATCTACACATAAAAACTTGTAGAACTCAGAGTAGGAAAAGCACATTATCTGGAAGATAATATTTAAATGCACAAGATCACTTAGTACATCAATGGCAGAGCCAGGCCTGAAAGCCAGCCTTTATTCTTATCTAGTGCTCTTTTCCATGCCTAATACCTTTTCAACCTCTCTCCAAAGGATTCAGCCTAAAGGACTAAAATCAAAGAATAGATGCCATGAAGATGGTGGGGAAATAACCAAGAATTCTAATCTCTGCAGACATCTAATACAGACATCTTTCTGGGTGTTTTTCACAAATGTAGTTATATTTATCTGAATAAATTTCAGTTAGAAATAAAGGCAAACTAAGTATAACTGGACACATTTTAATTTAAGTTCCTTGGTAAGATTTGAATAACCATTTCTTTGTCTTTTATTTAATGTGATTTGTGATTACATTTTTCTTTTATATATATTTTTTTAATGGACTTAATTTTTTAGAGCAGTTTTAGGATCACAGCAAAACTGAGTGGAAGGTACAGAGATTTCCAGATGCGCCGTGCACCCACACATGCATAGCCTCTCATTATCAATAGCAGAAGAGTACATTTGTTACAATTGTCCTACATTAACACATCGTTGTCACCCAGAATCCATAGTTCTTGTTGTTGTGTATTCTGTGGGTTTAGACAAATGTGTAATGACATGTTTCCACCATTGTAGTGTCATACAGAGTTGTTTCACAGCCTTAAAAATCCTTTATGTTCTGCCTATTCATCCCTCCATCTCCTTTAGTTCTTTGTAACTACTGATCTTTTTATTGTGTCCAAACTTTTGCCTTTTCTGTTTTCTTCTATTATTAAATATAAAATGTTTGCAAGTAACCTAAATTAATATTTCAAATTTTTGTTTAGGCAAGCAGAGCTTCAAAAAATGTATCAAAAGCAAAACAATTGGTTGAAAAAGCAAAAGCTTTACACATTAGTAGGTCAAAAGCTACTGAAGAAATAGTGACACCCTTAAGGCGTTCATCTAGACATCAGACACTTCCCGAAAGGAAGAAATTGTCAGAATCAGAAGTAAGTATTACAATATTTATTGGTATGAATTCCGTCTTCTTCTGCTGTTTGGAGTGGGAGAAGGAAACCAGTGTAAAGTTTTAAGGTAGAATTGTAAGATCGCCTTGAGGTGGTAGAAAGAATATCATTTTCAGTTCTGGTTTAAAAGCCTTTGGCTCTCTTTTGCCTACAGAATACTGTCTGAATCCTTATCGAGTCATTCAAGATCCTTCATAGGCTGAACTAGCTCTTTTCCTCAAAACAACTGCCTTCCTCATTTACACACTTTCTGCTCTAGGCATGCCAAATTATTCATTTCTCCCCAAATGGTGCAATTTTTACTTTTTTCACTTTGTAGTCTCCACTTGAAATGTACTTTCCAGGTACCTGTTTCTATCTAAGAAATTCCTACTCAGTTTTATTACCATACAATTCTGCATTTAAAGTGTGCAATTCATTGGTTTTTAGTATATTCACAAGATTGTGCATCCATCACCACAATCAGTTTTGGAACATTTTATCACCCCAGAAGAACCCCTATTCCCCTTAGCTGTCACCTCCCAATCTCCCCTCCCCCAACCTTAGCCTACCACTAGTCTACTTTCTGTCTGTACGGACTTGCCTTTTCTGGACATTTAATATAAATAGTATCATACAATATGTGGTCCTTTATGTCTAGCTTCTTTCACTTAGCATAATGTTCATCCATGTTGTAGCATCAGTGTTTCATTTCTTTTTTATTGCCAAATAATACCCCATTGTATGGATATACTACATTTTCTTCACCCATTTATCAGTCGATGAACATTTGGGTTGTTTCTATTTTTTGGCTATTAGGAATAATGTTATGAACATTCCACTACCTCCTCTTGAAAGCTTTGCTGATGCCTTCAAGACAAATTATTTCCTTCCTTGTATGTACTTTACTTTCATATGTTTTTGGTATTTTAGTTAATATACTGTACTGTAACTAGTTAAACTCTCTACTCATGGACTCGCCCTCCCTCTGTCCCCTAAACCCGGGTGTAACCGTGAAGCCAGCTCTGGGGTTTCATTTGTCAGTGTATTCCCAGTGCCTGCTATATTGCCTGACACATGGTGGATGCTCAGTAAATGTATGCTAATCATGTAAAAACATATCAGACTTCATCTAATACATTTCTAGCATTATAAGTCTAATAGGGTGTAGTCAGAATTTTTATAACTTAGTCATATTGATTCTTTCATCTGGAAGATAGTCTCTTAGTTGCTTCTTTAAAAAAGAAAACCCGTGGTCATAATAAATCCACTCTTTGATCACTTGACCTTGTATGCTATAAGCACAGACTGCTGCCATTCGTATCATGTGTTCTCAGTGTCAGTCAGCTAGTGTCTGATGGGGAGATACATGGACTTGCTAATGGAATTATCTTGTCTATGGCTTCTAGTGCTATAATCTTTTTGAGATCTGAATGTCATTAATTGCATGACATTTAAAATTTTTTTCTTGTTCTTAGGACTCTGTAATAATAATAGATTCAAGTCCTACTTCTTTAAAGCATACAGAGAAAAATCAGAAGAAACTTCAGTGTCTGAATGATGTACTAGGAAAAAAACTTAAGACTCCTAAAAATGTACCAGGTAATTAGATTTGATAACATTTATGATGAATATTAGAATGTATGGGGTATGATTCTATTGTTCTGAATGCTCTCATTTTAATTTAATCTCTTGTCTTATAAAATATAAACTTAGACTAAATATTATTTCTATGTTAATAAGTGAAGTTACAGTGTAATGTAGTGAAGAGTTTTACAGGGGTAACTGAGCATATTTTAAGTTATTGCATTTTTGTGTATCTGTTTAGCCTCAGCTGAGTTAAATGGTTCCCAGACATGACTGATTATCAAAATCATCTGGGTAAATTTAAAAAATTTTAAATCTTCAGGTCTTCCCTAGACATATGGACTAAAAATCTCTAGTGGTGTCTTGTGGGAATCTGTAGTTAAAAAAAAAAAGCTCCTTAGGAGATTCTGATATTGATATTGTCAGGTTGAGAGACCAGATCATTATACAGAAATTTTTTTAGTTAAAAAAATTTAAAAATAGTTAATTTTTTAAAAAGTTTTAAAAGAGAGATATAATTTTGAAAGTAGCTGGAGATAAGTGGAGATGATAAACATTGATACTAACTTAAGTATTTATTTTCCTAAGGAAAAATGAAAATTGCTCCTTTATTTCTTACCAGAAAGGCTCAAAAAACAGCTGATCCTATCCTTGGTTTTGATGAAAGCAGGTCAGTTCAATACACATTTGAAAATTTCAAAATATCTTTTGGAATGTATTTTGTATTTATTCATTTACTTAGAAAGCATGTAAGTTATCATTTAAAGCTTAAGTTCATTTTAAAAGATGGCAATATTGACACTACTGCAACTGCAACTTGAAGATCTCGGTCTTTTGCAAACATTTCATGCCCATCTCTAGACAAAATAGTGGAAAAGTAAGCAAACCAAAAATACCAAAAAACTGATCATGAACTTGTTCAGTAAATCTTTAAATACCTACTATGTACCAGGCACTGTTTTTGTTACTGGGAATATTATGGGGAACAAAACAAGATGCATTCCCTGTAGTCATGAGGCTTACACTCTAGAGGGAAGACCATCTGTGATGAAACATTAGTTGGACCAACAAAAGAAAAATTACAGTTGTGCTAAGAAGGAGAAGTACAAAGTTCTATTAAAGTTTATATTAAGTAGATTTGGTCTGGTCAGGAAAGGCTTTGCTGAGGAAATGACACCTGCACTGAAGGATCAGCAGGAGGTCATCAGGCGGAGGAACAACGTTCCAGCCGGAGGGACCTGTCTGTGCAGCGTCCTTGTAGCTAGAAGGAGCATGGTACATAGAACAGGTTGAAAGGATGCCAGTGTGACTTGAGCACAGAGAGCAGAGGTGAGAGGAATGTGAGATTAAGCTGGAGAGGTGGATGCCAGCCCGTGTAGGACCTTTAGGCCATGTGAAAGAATTTTATTATGCTAACAGCAATAGGGAGCAATCAAAGGATTTTAAACGTGAGTGTGGACATAAACATTTGATTTTGAAAGTTTACTTATTTTATTTAATTTGACCAGCTGGCATTTCGGGTAGCTGATTAGATTTTTTCAAATTGAATTAGTGTGTTTACTTTATAGATAGTTTAGTTTTTTGAAGTGTTTATAACCTTAGCTCTCCTTTTTCACATCGTTTTCTTAAAAGTCAAGGTACATCTGAAAAGTCTCAGGATTGTGGTGTGCAGTTTAAAGCGAAGCGTGACTTTCTAATGAGTGGTTTGCCAGATTTGTTGAAACGAAAAATTGCGAAGAAAGCTGCCGCGTTAGATGTGTACAATGCAGTGAGTGCCAGTTTCCAGCGAGTCGTCCATGTCCAACAAAAAGATAACGGTGAGCTTAGCATTATGAAATATTTGTAAATGTTAGAAGTAATATGAAACTATGTAAGTTGGTTTAAGATGAGGCTAAGATGCAAATATAATTCTTATGGGGATTTTAGTGGGAATTTAAAGTGTGTGTTTCATCCTCTTTTCCTCAGCCTTGAACCCATTTTACTGAGGATGAGCGGTGGGGGCGAGAAAGCCAAAGGCATCCTCAGCCCTTATGCCTTCCGCCAGGGAGAGCAGGCATGTGTGTGGGGCCTTAAGTGAATGTTCGTCTCCGGAGAGGCGTCGTGTTCTGAAAGGAAGGCAGTTCCCTTCACTCTCAAAGCCTGTGTGTGAACAGATCATCCTTAAGAATTTCTCGGCAGCTCCAGCTTTGTCCTCGTCCAATTACTGTTGAAGGTTCGAGGAAATCTGTTTGCTTCCTTTCCAGAACAGCTTTTACTGTTTAGTGCCGTGAGTGTCTCTGGAATGGGTAACAGTGCTTCAGCGCTCTAGTTCCCCCTTTCTCACAGGCACCGTGCGCAAGAGTGAGCTGTTCGCACAAGCCTCTTTTACCGTGCTAGTAGCTTGATCAGAATCTATTTCTTTTTGGATTCAAATGCTATAGCAACCACAATCTTCCTGTACTTGCGTAGTTTTTAGTTATTGATGAGGTACAAAGCCTTATATCTTTATTTTGTTGTTCCTGCCTAGAGGTTTTTTTTTGTTAGCACAAAAACAGTTATATTCTTCTCAGCTGACTTTGTGGTTTGGTTTAGTGCACTCCCTCTACTCATGAAATGGACACTGTGTTCTGTTCTCCTTTCTCTTCTTTTTGTGTTTCTGACCTTGGTGCTTGTTGAGTTTTGTTCGGCCTCTCTTTTGTATGGGCAACTTCCCAGCCAGTCTTTCTAATAATATTCTATTTTTCCTTTTTTCCGCATCTCTGCCACTGGCCATTTGGTTGATGAAGGCTTTCTTGTTATTTCACTAGTTCAGTTTTAGATAGCATTTTCTAACAGTATGTTTAACTATAGAGATTAGTTATGCTTTTCTTCCCTGAGTTTGATAAACACAATTTCACAAGAGTGCTACTGTAAAGCTTAGAGTATCTATTTGTAGATGAGCAGATGAGGCAAGCACAGAGAGAACCTCTCTCTTAGAACCTTAAGAGTTCTCGAACATTTGCTGTTGCCTGGCATTCTGCTGAGCACTTCATATGCATATCTAGTTTAATCCCCATAATAACTCTAAGAGATTGAGTACCATAATTGTCACCCCCATTTTACAGGTGAAGAAACTAAGGTTTAGGCTCTTGCCCATGCTCACCTGGCTAGTAAGTGGCAGAGTCTGGATTTGAATCCAGGTCTGACTTCAAAGTTTAAACTTTAAACCAGGATGCTAATTGCCCCTGAAATTTTTACCCTGAATAGCAAGGTTGATTTAAAAAGAAAAAAACTTTGCTAATGTTTGCTTGTTTTTAAGAATTGGGAGGAAGACTAGGTAATTTTTATTACTTGTATTTGTCGGAGGTAAGGATTTTGTTCCCTTTGTACTCACTTAAGTTTCAGTACTTTTGTGTTAACGGTGTAGTTCTTGTCCAGTCTTTTCATGTTTACATACTTGGCATTTGATAAATGGGTAGTATGAATGAAGGTAATTAAGAGAATTTTTCTGTTTTTCTTTAGGATGCCATTTGTGGCATTTGAAACCACCCACTTGTCCTCTCTTAACTAAACTTAAAGAACTGAATACTAAAGTAATGGATCTCTCAAAATGTGTTATTGCTCTTGGTGAATTTTCAACATTGAATTCAAATCCGAAAAGTAGTAATCCTGCTGTTGTGGTAAGTATTAGAGTACCCATCCATTGCAGGGTGTTTCCTTCACATCTTTCAGAGGAAAAAACATTTTGGATGTCTACTGTTGTAGCCTGAAGTTCATTTTTTCTTAGAGTCCAATTTTAAAAAATAAATCCCAGTTGAGGTACACATCTCTTTTAAATACCCCTGGAGCTTTGAAAACATTTTAAAAATTAATGACAGCCAGTTTCAAAAGAATTTTAGATTATATAGCACATTTAGATACTTTGTAAGTCAGCATTATAAAGTAAATTTAGTTGAAAGGGAGAAGAATAAGAATATGAACTAAGTCCTTCGAAAGCTGTGCAAGGCCGCTTTGCCATCAAGGTTGTGTTTAGGGACGAAAGCTAATCCTACATTGATCTTAACTTACTATAGACAGAAAGTAGTTGGCATTATTGTGATCACTATTAATAGACAATGTCGGTCTGTTATTGACCATTTTATTCTTTATTGCAGTTTACAGGGAGAAGGAAAGATTTGACTGAAGAAGTAAGAAATCTTTTGCTGGAGGAAATTAGGTGGTCAAATCCTGAATTTTCTTTGAAGAAATATTTTCCTTTGCTTCTAAAAAAGCGAACTGAGCACCAGGTACTTTCTGAGTGTCGTTGTAAACAAGGTTAGTGATAATTAATATCATTATGTTAACATTTCAGTTTTGAAAACACTAAGACTTAGCCATTGACTCTTGAGAGTGGTCACCACAGAGAGGACACTGCTTATGGCTGGCAGAGAAAATTGTTCAACTGAAGTAAAGCATCTTGTGCGATACAGTGTTGGTCCCTGCCAGCTTCCAGAGACTCTGACCCAAAGACAGCTTTAATTATGTTAAAATATTAATAATTCGTTGAAGGAAAGCCTTAGAACTTATGTAGCTTGTACAAAAGGTATTTATTATTTATTTATTTATTTATTTTGGTGAGGAAGATTGGCCCTGAGCTAACATCTGTGCCAATCTTCCTCTACTTTGTGTGTGGGGCACCACTACAGCGTGGCTTGACAAGCGGTATGTAGGTCCACACCTGGGATCCAAACCCACGAACCCCAGGCCGCCAAAGTGGAACATGCAAACTTAGCCACTATGCCACTAGGCTGGCCCCAGAAGGTAGTTTAAATAACAACGTATCCAGCTTGCTTTAGGTATGCCATATTTGATTCTTGCCTTTTCTTTTTTTTTAAAGATTTTATTTTTTTCCTTTTTCTCCCCAAAGTCCCCCCAGTACATAGTTACATATTCTTCGTTGTGGGTCCTTCTAGTTGTGGCATGTGGAACCCCCCTCAGCGTGGCTTGATGAGCAGTGCCATGTCCGCGCCCAGGATTCGAACCAACGAAACACTGGGCCTCCTGCAGCAGAGCGCGCAAACTTAACCACTCGGCCACGGGGCCAGCCCCTGCCTTGTCATTTCATAGTAATAAGGCTATTGGATATTTTGAAGTGATATTAAGATTATTGGGTATGAAAATTTGTTTTTTGTTGATTAGTAAGCTCATGTTTTCCTTAATCCCCTACATAGAAAGTCCACAACTAGAGCCCTGTGTCAATCAAAAAGAGACCAAAAGGAAAAGAGTGGAAACGGAGAATCATAAGTCAAAAAGAAAGAAACCAAATGAGTATTCAGAAAGTCCAAAAAAGATACGTGGGAAACCAGAAGAACTTGACAAAAGAAACATCTCCACTGGGATAAAGCTAGACTCTTCCAAAGGTCCGTCATCTAAAACACCCAGGAAGAAACAAACATGTAAAGTGGAAACAGAAGCAGTAGAAGATTCTGATATTCTGATAATAGATGATGACAAAGAGTCTACATCAGAAGTATCTTCTATTGCTGGTAAATTAGATCTCCCTCTGGTCCTAGAACTCTTGGTTTTTTAACCTCTCATTTTTCCCCTCTCTTAATATATGCTCATTGCAACATTCAAACAATATATATATGTATAAATAAGAAGTGGAAGCCTCACTGATTAGAGTCTTACAGATAACCACATTTAACAGATTGGTGTTTGGTCTTTGCTTTTTCTCTGCTTCTATAAATACATACACTTTTTTAAAAACCTGGGGTCATACTGTACATATTATTTTATACCTTTTTCACGTATCTCTGACATGGTCCCATTTGGTTTATCTAGCTTTTCCAAAGTATTCTATTGCATTGATTAATTCATCCTTTTGTATAGCTTTAGAGTATATTTTGATTTTTTTTTTTTCCTGAGGAAGATTTGCCCTGAGCTAACATCTGTGCCAAATCTTCCTCTTTTTGTATGTGAGCTGCCACCACAACATGGCCACTGACAGATGAGTGGTGTAGGTCCACGCCTGGGAACTGAACCTGAGCCACTGAAGCAGAATGTGCCAACGTTAACCACTAGACCACCAGGGCTGGCCCTATTTTGATTTTTTTACAGCAAGTCTCCTATCACTTTTTTAAACTATTTTCATGCATCTACTCTACTAAATGAACTATAAGATTCTTTTTTTTAAATTTCATTTTTCCTTCTTCTCTCCAAAGCCCCTCAGTACATAGTTGTGTATTTTTCGTTATGGATCCTTCTAGTTGTGGCATGTGGGATGCCACCTCAGCATGGCTTGATGAACGCTGCCATGTCCACGCCCAGGATCTGAACTGGTGAAACCCTGGGCTGCCAAAGCGGAGCGTGGGAGCTCACCCATGGGGCCAGCCCCCAAATGAACAGTTAGATTCTTTTACCCCCACAAATCCCATGGGGGTTTGACTTTGTGGTAGTGTCTGGATTAATTCGGAGTGAACTGGCATCTCTGCAGTGCTCAGTCTTCTCAGTGAGGAGTGTAGCGTCTCTCTCCCTTTCCCCAGGCTGGCTTAGTGGGACATCTCAATGTTTCTTTTCAGTGGTCAAAAGAGACTCAACTAAAATTATGCTGATTTTGTTCTTCAGATTATTTTTTGTGGTAAAAATTATTTTTCATATGTCCTGTTTCTTGAATGGTTATTACAAATTTAAATGTGTCTTTTTAAACCTTACTGTCACAGACTTTATGGTGGTTAGCTTCTAAGGGGGAAAGGTTTTGATGTGAAGAATTTTAAATGTAACGTTAAGTTTTGAAATTGCCTTTTTGGCATTTTATAAATATAAATATTTGTACAAATACTTACTGTTATGTGAAACAGTAACGTAAATGTCTAAGAATGTATGCTTATGTCAAGGAACAAATACTTTAGTATATATTTTTTGCTTTAGATCTTGGAACTGAAGACATGCTTTGGACAGAAAAGTACCAACCCCAGAACTCCGGTGAACTCATAGGCAATGAGCTAGCTATAAAGAAGTTGCATAGGTGGGTAAAATTTGTAAAGGAACTGAGAAATCGTTTATGAATCTATTTTTACTATTTAGTTTATTTATTACTAAAACCTAGAAATTATGAAGTATTGTAGATTACCTGTAAAATCTTTAAAAAAATTTTTTTTAAGTGAAAGTTAAATATCCCTCTTTTCTTCCATTTCTATTCCCCAGAGGTAACCACTGTTAAATATTTCTTATAAAACCTTCCAGAACAAATTATACGCATATACTAGTTCCTTTCTTCCTAACAAACAGAATCATATTATAACTAATTCAGGTTCATATCTTTTGTCTATAATTCCCACATCCAAAAAGTTCTGAAAACTGAAAGTTATTAACTTTATTATGTAAAGTTTATTATGGTCTTTATTGATCCCATTTAGTAGGAGTTCATACACTTTTTTAAATAGAAATATCGATTGATTATGGAAGTACCACCACAGATCCCATTAGGGGTATTGTTATATGTGTTGTATGTACCAAATTTCCTTTCTAATATCTGAAATCTTTTGAATTCTAAAACTCCTGTCCCAAAGGATTTTATATAAGGAATTGGGACCCATAAGAATAGTTATCACTTTGAGCTTAGCACTGTTCTAAGTATTTGCATTGTTCTTAGCTCATTTAATCCTTAGAACAATACCGTGAGGGTAAATACTGTTATCATCTCATAGGTGAGGAGTGAGGCCTAGAGAGGTTGGGTTATTTGTCAAGCCCACACAGCTAGAAAGTGGTGGAACTGGAATTCAAACTCAGGCAGTCTAGCTCCAGACTAGAACTTGATCTTTCTACTTTTGCTTAGCATTGTCCATTAGACATCTTTCATGTCGTCACACAATCTACCTCAGTTCTTCGTGGTTGCTCTATGCTGGTTTCTGACGTGAGTGTACCATAATGTGTGGCACATTTCTCTTCCTGAGGTACTTCTGGGTTTTTCCTTTTGGAGGCTAGTATGAACAGTGTTGCAGTGAATATCCTTGCACGTATAGCCATGTGTATTTTGGCAAAAATTGCTTCATTTAAAAATATTCAGACCCATGTAAAAATATTTTACTGTTTGGTTGGTTCAGAAACACTGTGGAGTACTTAAAAACTAATGGTATGCCATAAATTCCCACCAGCAATCATTTTAACATATAGTCTAAGAGGTATCTATATTCTGTGAATTATTTTTATTAACATACATTTTCTTACGGCAGTTGGTTGAAAGACTGGAAAAGAAGAGCTGAATTGGAAGAAAGACAAAATTTGAAGGGAAAAAAAGATGAGAAACAAGAAGGTATTTTGAGTCATTTTTTCCATTTCACTGAACATTTTTAGATTTAGATTAGCTAAAAATTTTTATGAAATTTCTTAATGGTATTTTATATTTGATTTTTTAGTTTGGGGAAATTAAATTTCCAGCATTTATTGGCAAGGAGTTTGAGAGATTTGATCATTGGGTTTTGTGAGGTAGAGTTGCTGCCTGAGCAGTTATCACCTTACATGTGTTTGAATCATTTTCCAGATCTGTCGGATAGCATAGATTTCAAAGGCAGTTCCGACGATGAGGAAGAGAGTTGTCTTTGCAATACTGTTCTTATAACTGGGCCAACAGGAGTGGGAAAGACTGCTGCCGTCTATGCTTGTGCTCAAGAGCTCGGATTTAAGGTTAGTGAGAGCTATGACTGAAGAGTGTTAATCGAATAATTATCCTTGAGTTAAAAGAAAACATAAACCCTTCTGCCTTTTTCTATATATTCTTCTTTTAGATATTTGAAGTGAACGCCTCTTCTCAGCGCAGTGGCAGACAAATTCTGTCTCAACTTAAGGAAGCTACTCAGTCCCATCAAGTAGATAAGCAAGGTGTAAACTCACAAAAACCGTGCTTTTTTAATAGCTACAGCATAGGCAAGTCACCAAGTAAGTAAATTATTTTCCTTAAGTCATAACCTTTTGAAAGAAATCTAAAAGAATTTTAATAATCAGCTTTTTGTCATTGATTTTTTATCTTTTCCTACATATGTACATGCCTTTTTAATTTTTTCCTGAACTGTTTTAAAACAAATCTCAAGACCATCATATAATTTTATCCACATATACTTCAATAGCTTTCTCTCACTGATAAGGACTTTTTAATAAGCATAACCGCAGCATCGTAGTCAGACCTAACAAAATTAACTATGTACCTTAATTTGATTTAATACCCCTTCTATTTTCAGTTTTCTGTTGCTTCAAATGGTTTGTTCAAATCAGGATCCAAACAGGGTCAGTGTCTTACATTTGATTAATGTCTCTTAAGTTTCTTTTAATCTCTCTAACAATTCCTCACCCTTTTCATGTCATTTGTTTGTTGAAGAACATGAGTCGTTTGTCATAAAATTTCTTGCATTCTGGATTTGGCTGATTGTGTCTTGGTGGAATGTGTTAACGTGTTCCTCTTGCGTGTATTTCTTATAAACTGGCAGTTAGATCTGTGGGCTTGATTAGATTCAGATTCCATTTGGGGCTGGCACGCATGCAGAGGCGGGGCTGTGTACTTCCTATAACATCGTAGCAGGAGATACGTAACGACTGGTTTTCCCACTTTTAGTGATATTAAAATTGATTGATGAGTTCAGTTGTTTTCAGTCTAATCCATCCATTATAAAGGTGCCCCATCGATCTCTTATCTAATGGTATTTTGCAGCCATTATTGATCTTTGTCTAGTAGACTCGTTATTTCATTAGGGCTTAAAAAATGGTGATTTTGTAATTCACTCAGCCTTTCTGAATTTAATAGTTTGAATTTTAAGAAGCAATATTCTTCATCAATTGTTAGGATACTTTGAAATACAATCTGTATAGGAAAAGCATGAGAAATGCTTCATTTTTTCCTTCCATTTATCAGGTCTTAGAGTTATGGTGCTCTAGTAATCTCCAAAGTTGACCAATGAATTTTTGTGTAGTTTTAATTTTTTTAGTATTATTATGAACTCATGGATTTGTATATATTTGATGTGTTTCAATTCTTTGTGTTCATTATTTGCTACTTTTAAGATTTTCTCTTTATCACTAGTTTTAAGCAGTTATGATTATGATGTTCGTTGGTGTAGTTTTCTTCATGTTTTATGTGCTTGGGGTTTGTTGAGTTTCTTGGAGGTATTGGTTTATACTTTTCATCAAATTTGGGGAAATGTCAACCTTTTTTTAACTGAACTATATTTGACATGTAGTGTGTAAATTTAAGATGTACAACATGGTAATTTGATACATTTCTGTATTATACTATGTTTGCCATTATATCAACAATTAGCATCTCTAACATGTTACAATAATTATCATTTCTTTTTAGTGATAGTTTCTTAATTTTGGAATAATTAAGTTATAATCTCTTAGGAAGTTTCTTGGTTATCATACAATATCATTGTCTATTTTCACTATACTGTCCATTAAATCTCTACGATTTATCTGCTAGTCATTGCAAGTTTGAACCCTTGAACAACATCTGTCCTATCCCCCACCCACCCCCATGCCCTGGTAAGCACCATTTTACTCCCCATTTTTATGAGTTTGACTTTTTTAGATTCCACCTATAAGTGATATTGTACAGTACTTGTCTTTCTCTGTCTGAATTATCTCATTTAGCATAATGTGCTCAAGTTCCATCCATGTTGTCACAAATGGCAGGATGTCCTTCTTTCTCATGGCAGAATAATATTCCATTGTGTGTGTGTGTGTGTCTTCTTCTTCATTCTTCATTCGCCCATTGATGGGCACTTAGGTTGTTTCTATATCTTGGTTTTTGTGAATATGCTGCAATAAACATGGGAGTGCATGTATCTCTTTGATATCCTGTTTTCGTTTCCTTTGGATATATACCCAGAAGTGGAATTCCTGGATCATATGGTAGATCTATTTTTAATTTTTTGAGGAATCTCCATATTGTTTTCCATAGTGGCTGAACCAATTTACATTCCCACCAACAGTGTACAAAGGGTCCCTTTTCTCCACGTCCGTGCCAACACTTGTTATCTCTTCAAATATTTTTTCTGTCCTCCTCCCTTCCTTTGGAAACTCCAATTGTGTATATTTTAGACCACTTGAAGCTGTCTTACAGCTCACTGATTGTATGTTCAGTTTTCAGTCTTTCATTTTTCTCTGTGTTTCATTTTGGGTAGTTTCTATTACTATTTAGTCAAATTCACAAATCTCATCTTCTGCAATATTTAGTATGCTGTCCATGCCATCTGGTGTATTTTTCATATCACATATAGTTTTCATTTCTAGAAGCTTGATTTGTGTCCTTTTATATCTTCTGTGGAACCACGTCCAATCTTTCCTGTAGGCTTTTGAACGTATGAAATACAGTTATAATGACTGTTTTAGTGTTTTTGTCTACTAATTCTATCATCTGTGTCATTTCTGAGTTGGTGTCAATTGATGATATTTTTTTCCTCATTATGAATTTGTTTTCCTGCTTTTTTGGATGCCTGTTAATTTTGATTGGCTGTCAGACTTGGTACAGTTTACCTTGTTGGGTGCTAGATATTTCTGTATTCCTGTAACTATACTTGAACTTTATTCTGGGATGCAGTTAAGTTACTTAAAAGCACTGATCTTTTCAGGTCTTTTATGCTGTATTAGGTGACACCATGGCAGCATAAGTCTAGGGCTAATTTTGCCCCATTACTTAAAAACGCTTCTGAGTACTCTGTCCAATGCCCCATTAATTATGAAGTTTGCCATTCTGTCTAGTGGGAAGAGGAACTAGTCCCAGCTATCTGTGAGCCTCAGAGATTATTTCCTTTCATCCTTCGCTGATCATTGCTCAGTTGAAGAGTTGCGGGGGACCCTCTGCAGATTTCCAGAGCTCTCTGTGTGGTTCTCTCCTCTTTGGTATTCTGCCCTGTGAACTCTGTCTGCCTTGGCCTCCCCAGACTACTAGTTCAGTCTCAACTCAGGGAGGCCTCTGAACTGCTTCCTCCTCCTCACTGTGGCCTGGACATTCTCTCAAGGCAATAAGCGAGGCAATCCTTAGGGTTCACCTTGTTGCTTATCTCTCAGGTTTGACTGTCCTGTGTTGCATGATGTCCAAAGTCTTGAAAAGCACTGTTTCATATATCATATTCCATTTTTTGTTGTTATTTCAGATGGGTGGGTAAATCCAGTCTATCTTGGCTAGGAGCAGAACCTTGTCTTTTATCATTTCTTGCTCGTATTGTCCCATCTTGTCTGTCTCAACGGCTAGCAGGAAACGTTTTAATTGGTTTGTGTCCTTTTGACATAGCCCCAGTAATCTTAGATATTTTCCTTGCTTTCAGCCTGGTTAAGATGTCCCAGATCTAGAATTAGCTATTTCTCCAAGGAGCTCATTCTTTTGGTGGGAAATCTTTAAAAATATATATATTGATAAGATTTAGCCAAGTACTTATTGAGTATTTTAAAGTAAAAATTAGCATGTATTTTCTAACACCAATCTTTGGACTGATGCCAGTCCATGATCAAGCAATCCTTGGTCTATGACAAAATTTAAAAACTAGGGACAAAATAGCGAGTTTTTAAATAAACAAATCTACTCAATATAAAGAAAGATTTTTTATGATTATGCACCTCTTACCTTCTGGTGTTAAAATGCCCTATTTTTATGAAACGATAGTGAGATCGATGATAATTTTTTCAAACTCAAAATTTTCAGTAGTTTTTTGAACGCCTATAATATGCAAAGAATATGATAAGATCTGTGGAGATAGGGGTGCAAAAAAAGAGTAGGACAGAGTCTTGGAATTGTGTATACTTGATGGTACATGAACAAGCTGCTCCAAGGCCATATGATAGTAAGTAGGACATGTAAGGACTGAGTCAGGGCTCTCAGAGGGGAGAAAAAGGATGTGCTCTGGAATGAAAACTGGGCACGGTCAGCTCCTGGAGGGTAGAGATCAACCATTTATTTTTTAACTTTGTATTTATCCCTCATAGCATTTCTAGAAAACCATATTATTTGCTTGCAATATCACTTTCTGATAGGGTTAAGCTGAAATTGGACAACAAAGTTACATAATGTGCTCACTGTACTGTTATCACTTTTCCTCCAGCCTCTTCTGACCTCTAGCAGGTGTAGAGAAAGTAATGGAGGGGTTATGAACATTGTTGCTTCAAGAATGTATGTTTCTTTGGAAAAGAGTGTCTTTTCCAAATGACTGATTTTACCCTCTCTACTGGTAGAATAACTGTAACAATACAGAGTATTAAATGTAAGAATGAAGGAAAATTTCTATGTCTTTGATTTTTAGCTGGTAAGAGTAGAAATATAGACTGCGGATAACTCAATCTTGCCATCTGTTCAATTTTTAGAATATTTAAGTGCAATTTTTTTTGGCAGAAAAATTAAGCTCCCCTAGGAAAGTTGTGACATCACCAAGGAAACTGCCTCCACCATCACCACAAAGTAGTGGACCAAAGCGAGCACTTCCACCTAAAACTTTGGCAAATTATTTTAAAGCGTCTTCTAAGCCAAAAAATAGTGAAGAAATAGGAGTGCTTCTGGAAAACAATAAAGGTAAGACATTAAATTGACAAGATAAACTTGACGTCTTTTTAATACTAATGACCCTGATAAATAGAAATCTGATCATATTTCATGAGTTCCTATTGTTCTTTATTAAACCTCAGCTACCCCAAAGGTCCTCCATATAGGAGTTTTGATATTTTGTTTCAGTTTTAATAGGGGATTTCAGTTTGAGCTTATTCTGTGGAAATATCTAGTGTTCTATTAAAAGGTGATTTTTATCTAAAATATTAATATTTTATTTGTGCAGGAATCAAAAATTCGTTTGAACAGAAGCAAATTATTCAGGCTAAACCTACAAACACAACTAATTCAAATGTCAAAGAATTTGGAGCTGAGGAACCCAACAGGAAAAATGCAACATCTCTCATTCTTTTTGAAGAGGTAGGCTTACAGAAGTAGACATTTTTGATATCTCGTGATAAAAACTTATTCTAAAGATTACTGTATGTGTTACTATGAAGTATTGTAAAATGGCCAAGAAAGTCAGGAATACTTGAATCTATTTGAAATTAAAGTGAATGAAACTGTCAATCATAGAATTTTTCAGGAAGAGGATTAATGCAACTCACGCTTATTAATTATTGTTCAATGATTGTAGAAATTATTCTGACTTATACTTATCCAGTTATAGGTGCCTGCATTTCTTTGGTTTTAATGTTTGATAATTTTTTTACTCTTTTAAGAGTGTAAGGCATTGTAAGCTTTCAGCCTGGGCTGAATTCATACTGTTCATAAATTCATAAATTTTGTCTCTAACAAACGTAGTGTGTATCTACTATGTATACAGAACTGATTTCCAGCAAGTATATTGTTGCTTAATACAATTAATTTTCTAATAAATGTTCTTAGGTTGATGTCATTTTTGAAGAAGATGCTGGGTTTTTGAATGCAATCAAAACATTCATGGCAACAACTAAAAGACCTGTAATCCTTACTACAAGTGGTAGGTAACAATGATTTTACAATTAATAACTTTTGGTTAAAATATTTTGGGAAAGCTTCTAATTTTAGTTAGAAATGTTCCTTTAAAAGGAGCTAGTAAATTGTCTTTTTTTCTAAATTGAGGAGGCTCCTAGGTCATTTTTTAAATTAAGAACTATTCAAATTTGCAATTGATTTGCAGCCTTGAAACATTATAAAATTAATATATTACCTTGCAAATAGCAGTGACTTTAAAAATGGCTACTACTTTGAATCACTGTGTTGGATTTTCGATATTTAGGAAGCTGACAACAGCCTCGAATGCCGATAGAGATTCATGAACTAACTGGGGAAGGGGTTTTGGTAGGGAAATAAAAGATCCTTCTTTTTGCCTCTTCTGCATACCTATAATTAGATCACCAAACCTCATTCACTGGTCAAAATTTTTTATGGAACTCAACTTTTTTGCAGTTCCTTAATATTGAACTTAGCCATTCCTCAACCCCTGATAACACTTATGGATTATTGCATATTTCAGGTAAAGTAAGCCGTCATCAACCTAACAATTGGTTCAGCTTCCCAATAATTAGCATTAAATGTTTAATTTTAAAACTCATACAATTTCTTTTTTTGTTATCAATTTTGTATTGTAATATCATTTTCTGGTATTTTCATTGCAAATATTCAGTGGAATATCTCTGCTATGGATTTCTATAGGAAAATGTCTTTTATGTTAAATTCCACTTAGAAATTAATGGCCCATTTGACAGTTAGTGATTGTACTATAAAAATATCAATAAAAATCATGTTCATCAAGTTACTATACCAAGTTAAATGGTAGTTTACGTAAAAGATCTTAGTAACTTTAGGTCAAGACAGAAATTCCATTCCTTGATGATTTATAATTTGCATGATGTTTTATTTTTATTACTGATGAAATACAGAATGTTTTAATAGAAAAAGTATAACTGGAAAAAGTAATTTAGTAGTCTTAGTGTTATTAAAAAAGTATTTTTTTCCCCTGTAGATCCAACATTTAGTTTAATGTTTGATGGCAGCTTTGAAGAAATTAATTTCAATACTCCTTCGCTGGTAAGTTTTGAATTTTGACAATCATAAATTACATATCACAATTATATAAAAGATAGTTTATTATGATAGTTACAATTTAAAAATCTAGCTACTAAGGGATATGTTAAAGTTTTTGAGTTTTAGGAAACTTCTGATTATTATATTTATTTTTTTGCTTTAAAAATATTTTTTTCAAAATTCAAATACTCAAATTTTTACTATATTCCAATGTTCATTAGGTTTTTTTAATAATAATAGAGCTGTATTGAGGTGAAATTTGCATACAGTTAAAATGCACTTAAGTATACAATTTGATAAATATTACCATGTATAAACATCCATGTAACCATCACTCAGATCAAAATTTAGAACATTTCCATCACCTCCAAAAGTTCCCTTGGGCCCGTTTTAGTCAGCACTCCCCTACCCACCAGAGGTAACCACTACTTTAATGCATATCAACTTTAATATTATTGTCTATTCTGAAATTTCAAATAATAGGAAACATTGTGTGTCTTTTTATATCTGGTTTCTTCCACTTAATGTTTTTTTGATTTATCCATGCTATTCTATCAGTGAAATTGTTGAGTCATATGCGTTATGTTATGTGTTTAATTTTTTAAGAATCTGTCAAATAGGTCTCTAGTGCATGAGAATTCTGGCAGCTATTGTCAGTCTTTCTAACTTTAGCCACGGTAGTGATATCCATCTGTGTGTTTGTAATTGTACTTGCGTGTGTGTTTGCGTTTTGTTAATTAGCTTTATCTGAGTATAATTTGTATATAGTAAAATTCACCCACTTTAAGTGTATAGTTCAATGAATTTTCACAAATGTTGATATAGAATGTGTCCATCAAGATAGAGAACATTTCGATTTCCTCAGAAAGTTCCCTTGGGCTCCATTGTCTTGTCCTTTCTCCTAAACCCTCGGCCCTGGCAACTACCAGTCTGTTTTCTGTCACTATAATTTTGCCTGTTGTAGAATTTCATGTAAATGGAATCTTATGTTAGCGTTTTTTATTTAGTTTCTTTTATACACCATAGTGCTTTTTCAGATTGATTCATGTTACCTGTGTCAGTAGTTCTTTCCTTTTTATTAATGAGCAGTATTCCATTGTATGGCTATACCTCACATACATGAATTTGTGTCTGTCGTCTTCACCCGTTGATAGACATTTGGGTTTTCTATGGTTAAACTATTATAAATAAAGCTGCTATGAATATTCGCATTAAAGGTTTTATCTGGACATATAATTCCATTTCTTTTACTTAAATACTTACAGATGGAATTGTTGTTCTGATTAACATTATAAGAACCTGACAAACTGTTTCTGAAGTTTTCCAACGATTTGCATTCCCGTCAGCAAAGTATGAGAGTCCAGTTGTTTTTCATATACTCACCAGGATTTGGAATTGTCCATTTATTTCATTTTGTCCATATTAATAATTATGTATTGATATCTCATTGTGGTTTTAATTTGCATTTCCTTAATGACTATTAGGTTGAGCAACTTTTCATGTGTCCATTTGCCACCTGTCTTTCTTCTTTGGTGAAGTATCTTCAAATCTTTTGCCCATTTTTTAAATCGGTTGTCTTCTTACTGAGTTTTAGCAGTTCTTTGTATATATTCTGGATACAAGTTTGTACTGGATATGTGTTTTGTAAATATTTTCTCCCAGTTTGTGGCTTACCTTTACATTTTTTTAATTGTAAAGAGTTTTGTTTTTAATTTTGATGAAGCCCAGTTAACCAAGTTTTTCTTTTATGGTTCATAGTTTTTAGGAAATCTTTAGGGGCCGGCCCCATGGCCGAGTGGTTAAGTTTGCGTGCTCCACTTTGGTGGCCCAGGGTTTCACCGGTTCAAATCCTGGGTGAGGACATGGCACCACTCATCAAGCCATGCTGAGGCAGCATCCCACATGCCACAGCTGCAGGGACCCACAACTAAAAATATACTACTATGTACTGGGGGGCTTTGGGAGAAAAAGAAAAAAAATAAAATCTTTAAAAAAAAAAAAGAAATCTTTACCAAACTCCAGCTTACGAAGATTTTTTCTTAGAAGTTTTGTAGTTTTAGCTCTTGCATACAGATCTTTTATCTATGTATAGTAAAGTTTTATAGGTAATGTGAGGTAAGACATAAGATTCATTTGTTTTCCACAGATATCCAGTTGTTCCAGCACTGCTTGTTGAAAAGACTATCTTTTTTCTATTGAATTACTTTCCAGTTTTGTCATAAATCGATAGACTGTGTATGTCTTACTGTGTTCTCTTTATCTGTGTGAAATACGGCATTGTCTTGATTACTCTAGCTCTTTAGCAAGTCTGGAAGTCAAGTAGTGTAAGTCCTCCAATTTTATTCTTTTGAAAAATTGTTTTGTCTATCATGTCATTAATTTCTCTCTTAATTTTAGAAACAATTTGTCAGTTTTTACAGTTTATTTTGGTGTTTTGGTGGAAATTGCATTGAATCTATGAGTCAGTTTCAGGAGAACTGACATTTTAACAATATTGAGTTTTCTGATTCATGAACAGTTTTTTTAGGAGAGGGGTTTAACATTCAGCAGTGTTTTGTAGTTTTCATTGTAGAGACCTTGCACATATTTTGTTAAATTTAGTCCTAAAGATTTAATGTTTTTTGATGTTATTGTGAATGGTATTTTTAAGATTTCAATTTCCAGTTGTTTATTGCTGGTATGTAGAAGTACAATTGATTTTTGTATCCTGTGAGCTTGTTAACCTGGTTTGTTAGTTCTAGTAGTAGATTGTCTTTAGAATTTTCTGTATTGATGGTCATGTAAGTTAAAACGACTTTTGGGGCCGGCCCCGTGGCCAAGTGGTTAAGATCTCGCTCTCTGCTTCGGCGGCCCAGGGTTTCGCCGGTTCAGATCCTGGGCCCAGACATGGCACCGCTCATCAGGCCACGTTGAGGCGTCCCACATGCCACAACTGGAGGGACCCACAACTAAAAATATACAACTGTGTGCTGGGGGGGATTTGGGGAGAAAAAGCAGAAAAAAAAAAAAAGATTGGCAACAGCTGTTAGCTCAGGTGCCAATCTTTAAAAAAAAGAAAAGTCTTTTATTTTTCCTTTTCAATCTGTACCTTAATTTCTTTTTGCCACATCCCAGTGGCTAATGCCGGTGTACCTTCAGTATGCTGTCGAATGCAAGTTAGAACGGACATCTCTGCCTAGCTCCTGATGTTGAGGGGGAAGCATTCATTCTTTGACCACTGAGTGGATATTAGCTGTGTATTTTCATAGATGCTCTTTATCAGTTAGCTGAAAGTTTTTATCGTGATTGGTGTTGACTTTTGCCAACTACTTTCTCTGTTTTTTGAGTCAATCATGTGGTTTATCTTTTTAATTCTATTAATATGGTGAATTGATTGATTTTTGAATGTCGGATCAGCCTTACAATTCTTGGGATGATATGGTCCTGATGTGTTATGTCCTTTACGTCTTTCTGGATTTGATTTGCTCATATTTTGTTATGGATTTTTTCTCTACATTCATGAAAGATATTGGTGTGTAGTTTCTAGGCTACATGAAGTGGATTAGGACGTATTTTTTATTAGTTTCTGTAGAGATTAAAATATATGTTCTTAGCTTTTCATAGTGTATTTAGCATTAATATTGAATGAATTTACGGAGAATTTGAGAACCTTGCAAAAGTATAAGTCCTTTTACCATCCTTCTATCCTTTATGCTTTAGTTTTCAAATGTTTTACATTTACATACATTATAAACTCTAACTATTCTATTTTTTTGCTTTAGCCAGTCAAATATGTTTTAAAGAAATTAAGAGGGTAAAAAGTTGACTTTTATGTTTACTCATATAATTATGATTTCTGATGTTCTTCCTTCCTTTCCGAAGATCTCACTTTCTTTGCTTTTGTTTCTCTTCAGCCTGAAGAACTTCACTGGCAATTCTTATAGAGCAGGTCTGCTGACAAAGGATTATATTAAGTTGCTTTTACCTGAAAATGTCTTTATTTTATTTCATTCTCAAAGGATGTTTTCCCTCGATGTAGAAATCTGGGTTCTCAATTTTTCCATCAGTACTTTGACGAGGTCATCCCACTGTCTTTTGGTCACTCTTTTTTCTGATTATAAGTCAGCAGTCTTTTTTTGGTTTCATACATAATATGTCATTTTTTTCTGGATGCCTTCAAGATATTCTCTTTAACTTTGTTTTCAGCAATTTGCCTGTGATGTGCTTAGGTGTTATTTTTCTTCATATTTATCCTGCCTGTGGTTCTTGGATATCTACAATTCTTAAATATATGTCATTCCTCCAATTAGGGAAGTTTTTAACATTTTTCAAATTTATTTTATGCCCATTTTCTCTCTTTTTCCTTCCTGGGAATTTAATTTCAGGTATGTTAGACATTTTACATTGTCCCACATGTCACTGAAGCATGCTGTTCATCCTCCCTGCCCCTAGTTTTTTTTTGTTTATACTTCTTATTTGATCATTTATGTTGCTTTATCTTCGAGTTTGCTGACACTTTTTTTTTCTGCCACCTCCATTCTTACATGTGGCCCATCCGGTGAAATTTTTGTTCTGATATTATCATTTTTAGTTTTACAATTTCCTTTTTTATAATTTCTGTTTTTCTGCTGAGATTTCCTGTTTGTTTATTATGAGCATGTTTTCCTTAAGCATAGTTTTACCAGCTGTTTTAAAACTCTTTGCTAATTCCAACATCTTCGTCATCTTGTGGTCAGTCTCTATTGATTGATTGTCCTGTCTCTGAGGTCTTGGTTACTTTTCCTATTTCTCTTGTGTGTTTAGCAATTTTAGATTTTTATCCCCTACCTTATGAATGATATGTTGTAGATACTCTGGATTCTGTTGTGTTCCTTTGAACAAGTATTCTCTTGTAGTATGTAGCAGCTGAGATTTCTGTTTAGTTCTTTTAGTTTGGGTTGGGATGCTTTGAGACAGGCCCACATACATGAAGTTCAAGCATCAACCAATGATTGTGTTCTCTTTTATGGCTAGAATTTCCATTTCTCTACTTTCGTGGACCTCCCCTCTCGCTTTCCAGCTGCTGCAGTCATCCCAAACTCTGTCCTCTGGTTCAAACCAGTATCACTGTGAGTTTCTGTTTGAGTTTTAACCACCACTGCTGCAGCCTGCCTTCAGCCAGAAATCACCTTGAGAAAAGGGAGAGGGGGTTGAGGTTCGGACTTAATTAGTCTGAGGGGCAGCTTGGGCCTCCAGAGTTATAAAGGCTCATCAGGTGATTATAATGTGTAGCCGAGGTTGGGAACCACTGCCCTAAATGTGCTCTAAGCCTGGAGTTAGACTTGCTATTGAAAAGCGGGAAGCAGAGACTTTGTATGTACTTTGGGCAAAGCTGCTAAAGATTTGAGTGACTTGGTAATGTGGCTCTCTACTCTCCTCCTTTTAATATGTATGATAGTAATTGAAAGCACATACTCTAGAGCAGTCTGCCTGGGTTTGATCCTGGCTCTACTGTGTAACCTTGCAAAAGTTGCTTAACCTGACTGTTGCTTAGTTTCTGCAACTGTAAAATGTGGAATTAAACTGTGTTTGCTGTGGTCTGAATGTTTGTGTCCCCACCCCAAATTCATATGTTGAAATCCTAATGCCTGATGTAATGGTACTAGTACTGGGGCCTTTGGGAGGTGCTTATGTGGTGAGGGTGGAGCCCTCAGGAATGGGATTAGTGCCTTACAAAGGAGTCTCTAGAGAGCTGCCAGCACCTTCCGCCATGCGAGGATGCGGTGAGAAGGAACCAGCTTTGAACCAGAAACAGGGCCCTCATGAGAACGTGACCAATGCTGGCACCTTGATCTAGGTCCTCCATCTTCCAGAACTGTAAGAAATAAATTTCTCTTGTTTATGAACTAAAATAATTAATTAATTAATTATTTTTAAAAAGAGAGAGAGGGGGAATTCACTCGGGGCCATTTCCTTTGTCCAAGTGTGATTTCCTTCATTTGTCTTCTGCCTCTGGTTGCTCTCTTGTGCTTTCAGGTAGTTGGTTTTTTATATTTATTTGCAGTTGATTATAGAGTTTATTGTTATCAATGGCAGGGTTTGTCTGATAGTAGGTACTCCTTTGTTGTTGAAAGCAGAATTCCTAGTTTGTGGGAGCAGAAGTTCCAGAAGTGTGCAGGAGTAATGTACATATATAGAATAAAGTCAATGATTTCATAGGGGAAAACATTTTTTTAATTGTCTTGTTTAGTAAAGTAAAAGGTCTTGTAAAACCTGTGAAACGTAAATATAATTTTGTTTTAGCTTTTCAAGGTAAAAAGCTTTCTATAAACAACAATGGGAAGAGAATTGTATATGTTTTGCTGTTTTACAAAAAATATTAGAGCAATATTAGTGGAACGTTAAATAAAATGAAAAAATTTACTTGGTCCATTTATCTTCCAACAAATCATAGTTATTTCATTTTTTCCCTTCTATTTCTTGTTTGCATACGTTTATGCTTTTCTGTATGCATTGGTTCAATTTTCTAACTCTGGTTTTAAAAAATCATATAATAAGTATTTTTCAGGCTTATTATAGTATTCATCTTTATAATTTTAATGGCTGTAAAATATTCCATCAAGTTGTACCATTATGTCATCCTAAGGGGTTTTCTCAAGTTTTAATAAAATTGCCTCCAGGGTTCAGGTTGGAGAATGTCCCATAAGTTTCCTTGCTGTCTTAGACTATATACAGTTAATAAAAGAAGTATATGTAAATGCTTTTAATTTGGTAGTATATTCCTTATATCTTTCTAGATCAGTTTCATTCTCAGTAAGAGCTTAAGATACTGTGAATTTTAGCAAAATCTGTCTTTCTTTTAGATATGTGTTATTGCTGTACTTCTGTTAACTATGCAACTGAGCATGTCTCTTCCCTCTCCTCTGTCGCTCTGTCTCTCAGCTGAATGTCGCCAGCTACCTGCAGACGATCTGCTTGACTGAAAATTCTAGAACCGACGTGAAAGACGTCGTGACGTTGCTAACTGCCAATGCTTGTGACGTCAGGAAAAGCATCCTTTATTTACAGTTCTGGATTAGAAGTGGAGGTGGATCTTTAGAAGAAAGGCCTTTATCCCTTCGTCGTAAGTTGATCTGTTATAAAAGAAATTTCTGTAATGAGACCCTATGTTAAAATATATGCTATATCAAAATATTTGAAAGAGTATAAACATTGTGAGCATCCAGGTGTCATGTCAATCCTAAAAGTAAACATGCGTATGTCAACTTTGTTGATGAAAAGTTTTGTAAATGTGAAATGTGAGTAAATAGAATTAAACTGCACCTGGAACAAATTTATACAAACTTATACATTTATAAACATATAGTTTCTTATAAAAAAATGTAATTATATTATTTAGAAACTTCCTTTTTTCACTTATTAAAAAACATTGGTGATTTTTCCATATATGTAAATTCTTTTTATATGACTGTATTATAAGTTCCCTTTCAGCTTCTTCAATAGTCTATAGTTCTATTTTTCCTAAGAACTTCATTATTTCAGAAATGCTTTATTTTATTTCTCATTGATCTTCAGTCATCGTAACCTAATTCAAGTCACAGACATTTATTGAGGACTTTCTCCATGCCAGGTCCTGTGTTTACATGAATAAGACATGGTTCCTTCTCTGAAGAAGTTCATAGTTTGTGGTTTCCATGCTCCATAGTCACAGTTCTGTAGTTACAGATCCTGCTCTGGGAAATACACAAATATTTAAATAAAACCAAGGTGAAGTTCTGTAATATTAATCCCTATCAGTTTTTTTCTTTGATTAGTTCAAATTTTTAATATATTCTTTTTCAAAGTAGACAAACATATATTTAATTCAATGTAAGCTAGTAGCTTTATTTCTTGGAAGTAAATATGATAAGTAAGACATGGAATATATCCTGTTATAAAAAATTAGTTAATAACTATTGCCATACGACTGGATATAAAATGCTATACCAAGAACTTCAGAAGACAAAAACCAAGCATAACGTTGTTTCTTTTCTTGAAGATCTTATATGCATTTTATTCCTGTTGTTTTTAAAAAACACAGATACACACTCATTGGAAATTCAAACAGTGCAGATGGATAATAAAGTACAAAAGTCAAAGATCTTCCCCACTTCTTAAAGGTAGCCACTGTTAGACTTTTTATCTATGCATATACAAATATTGCTACCTACTGACTTAGCCAAATTGACCAATACTATATATATTGTTAAACAATTTTGTTTTTTACTTAACAATTTATTGTCAGAGCATACTGTTTTATCGCTTTTTCACAGCTGCGTGCTAGAATGGATGTGACATAATTTAATTAACCATTGACTATTAGGGGACTTTTAAGTTATCTTGAGTTTGTCATTAAAGCATGCAGTGAATATCTTTATACATATATCCTTGAGCACGTCTGTGAGTATTTCTGTCAGAATTCTAGAAGTGTGGTTGCTGGGCCAATGCTATATACATTTTACATTTTGATAGGCGTTGCCAGATTGCCCTCCAAGAAAATTGTATGGATTTATGCTCCTATGAATAGTTTCTTATGGCCCTTTTATGTGTACCTCTGACAAAACTAGGTTTTAGTTGTTTTAATTTTGCCAATTTAAAAGGTGAAAAATAAAGAATATCTTGTTTTAATTTGCATTTCGTGATTACTAGTGAAATAGCACATCTTTTTGTGAGTTTATTGGACATTTATACGTCTTCTGTGACTTGCCCGTTCACAGTCCTTGCACTTTTTCCTGTTGGATTGCTTTATAAGCCCACCCCACCCCACCCCACCCCCACTTAACCTGTGCACACTAGAAATCAGGTTTGTATTGTACTCTTTATGAATTACATACATATGTGGAGAAGAACAAAATGGGAGTATAGGTCCACAAAAGATGCCAAAGAATCTTAGATTTTAAATAATTGTTTGGTACAATTTGTTAAAAATATAGATAGCTAAATTTTCTTTTATTAATTTTGTAGGAGGAAATAGCAGAAATGTACAACCTGTTTGCTCTGAAGATGGCCCTGATTCCAAAAATAACACTAAAAATACTAAAAGGAATCCTACAGACCTTCCTAAATGTGACACAGGCTGTGTTGAGACCTTGTTTGGCCTTAAGAACATTTTTTCCCCTTCTGAAGACTTATTTTCATTTTTAAAGGTATTTTCAGTGTATGGTTTGGAATGTTAAATTTATGTTCCTTTTCATCTTCTCAACCCTCACTCTATGTTTTGAATCTTAGGGTTAACTTAAATTTGCCTATAATTTTTATAGGCTTCAGATTTCTTATGTTAATACATTGTACCATTTTGACAAATGGTACACAGGCATTGCTCTAAATGCACATCACAGGATTTAGAATAGAACTTAGAAATAGCTCAGATAAAAAAGACAATTTCAGGGGCTGGCCCTGTGGCATTGTGGTTAAGTTTGGCATGCTCCAGGTTCACAGGTTTGGATCCCAGGCGTGGACCTACACCACTCATCAGCATTGCTGTGGCAGCAACCCACATACAAAATAGAGGAAGACTGGCATAGATGTTAGCTCAGGGCTAATCTTCAATAAAAAAGAGGAAAATTGGCAACAGATGTTAGCTCAGTGCAAATCTTCCCCAGCAAAAAAAGGAGACAATTTCATAAAAGTAGTTTTTAAACAGATGAGCTTCTAATTATTGAACTGGAGTGTATACTGAATATCAGAGAATTATAATTCTTCAAATTAACAGTCTAAATTTATTTTTTAGACTCACAGTGCTATTTTGATGTATTAAGGGATTATAGGTTAATAAAATTATTAGTGACTCATTACTTTGAGGATAGAATAGGGATGACACTATATTCATATGTGTAGAAAAATGTTGAGAGTATGTACTGTTATAACATTTCTTTACTCAAAATTATTTTTCAGCAGAAAATCAGAACAAAAGAAGAATGGCATAAGCTCATCCAGCTTCTTACAGAATTCCAAATGCGGAATGTCGATTTCTTATATAGTAACCTTGAGTTCATTCTACCATTGCCTGTTGATATCATTCTAGAAACAGAAAACTTAGGTGGTTCATCAGTAAGTGTGGACACCAGTGCAGCAACAAAAAATATGAAGTGTCTTGCTAGGAGACATTCTGAAGGAGAGAAGCCATTGAAAAAGTCACAAAAAAAGAAACGTAAGAAAAAGATGGTAATCCTGGATGATAGTGACTTATTTGACACAGGATTGGACTTTCCTGATGAATTCATTAGCCTTTCCTCTGCATCTTCTTCCTCAAATTCACAAGAAAGCAAAGCCAGAGATAAAGGAAGCAATCCACAGACAAAGAAACTAAACAAATGTTTAGAGTCTAACACTGAATCTGTTCCTTGTCCTCCTAAAACACCAGCAGAAAAAACATGTTCTGCCCTGGTTTCTCACTGTTTAAATTCTCTCACTGAGTTCATGGATAATATGTCCTTCTTAGATGCCCTTTTAACTGACGTAAGGGAACAAAAGGACTTTGGTAAAAATGACTTCACTTGGACAAATGGGAAGGTTAAAAGCGGACTTTGTGATGAGTTTAGTCTTGAGGGTAGCGATGGATGGACGTCTCCGAGCTCTGGAGAGTTAAAGGCAGCTGTAGAAGCGCTCAGCTTCACTAAGTGTTCTTCTGCTATTTCAAAAGCATTGGAAACCTCCTTGAATTCTTGCAAGAAATTAGGAAGAGATCCCACGAAAGAGCTTACTTTTTGTGTTTCACAAAAGCGCAACAACGTACACTTCAGTCAGTCAGCCGCTGATTTAGAGTAAGTCTTACTTCCTTTTACTTTTAATTTTTCAATAATAAATGGTAAAGGGGAAATTATTAGTTTCTTTCTTCTTACTAATTTTGAAATGCTGGGCTTTGTTGATCATGGTAAGCCCTTAATATTAATAATCTAGCTTCTAATGAGACAGTTAAGGAGAGCAGCCTGATTGCTGGGAAAGGAAATAGGAGATTCAGGGGCTAGATTTGGGAGACTCGTGAATGACAGGGAAAGGGGTTGGATTTGCTGTGGCAGACGACAGGTAGCGTTAAAGACTCTTCAGCACGGGAGTGGAGTGATCGCTCTGTTGAAAGTGATGTAAGAAGTTCCTCTGGAATCCAGGTAGTCTACTCGAGACCAGAAGCAGGGAGAAGCGGAGCCCAGAAGCTGTTGTGTTTGGGATTGTTGCATTTTTATTGAGCATTAAAAATAAAGAGTAATGCAATCCTTTTCATTGACAGCAGTGCTTGGAAGAGGATAGCAGTCATCAAAGGTGTGTTTTCCAGCCGATCTCTTCTGAACCTGGGTAATAGACAAGCTAGTGTAATTGAATACTTGCCAACTCTTCGAAACATTTGTAGGACTGAGAAGCTAAAAGAACAAGGAAAAAGTAAAAGAAGGTAAGGGCTCTATAAAAATAACATTTTAGATAGCTATTTCAATATTATTAAATATTTGCATCTAATGGAAATATTGATATTAAATTGTATTTTTCCTTGTAATTTTGACAGGTTCTTGCACTATCTTGAAGGAATTCATCTTAACATTTCAAAAGAGACTGTGAACACTTTGGCAGCTGGCTTCCCTTAATGTTCCCTGTTGACAATGCCGTGTACAGATTATCATGTGGTCTTTAAGATACATTTTTATATTGATTTTCATGGAAGAGTTTAGTTCTCTAAGTGTACATTTGAAACAGACTTTGTATATTTTTATTAGTGTGCAAATATTTAAAGTGAAAAATTTGAGTTACAAATTGTATTTATGATTGTGGTAGTATTTTTTTAATGGATTTCTTGTATTATCTGACTTAGCTTTGTTGGACTATTTTTGTATGTGACTGAGCTGTTTCTAGGAGCTAGAGTTCGTTAAGATATTTGTAAAGATGTTTCAATGCTAAACTAATCTGTAATTTTTCCCTTTCCTGTTACCCTTAATCCACCTCTCTCCAACAAAGTGTCGGTACTCTGTCAAGTGGTAAATATGAATCACCTAGGTGATAATCTTTTTTTAAATAAGTTTACACAATCCAAAATACAAAATTACGTATGTAATACATAAGAAAACTTCTAGAAAAGACATTATGCTTCATTTTTCTAAGTAAAATCTTCCTGATCAGTTTTTCAGTGTGCTTCTCCAGCATATTTTACCATTGAATCATTGAATGTTGATAAAGTGAAATCAAGATTATAAATTGTAGTTTTCATAAATCTTTTTCAGCAACCATACATATGTGATATCTTGTATATTTTGCCAACTCGTCATTTGCCTTGTACATTTTTCTTGTATTTTTATATCATTGATGTTTTATTTCATAAAGATATTAATGATGTTAATATATCTATTTTGGACAAACTGCTCTTCATTAAAACTGTAACAAAGAAGGTTTCAACTATAGAATTTCTACGTAGCCATTTCCACTTGAGGTTGTTTTTGGAGAAAGTATGTATTTTTAATTACAAGATTTTAAAATACCACATTTCACTTAAAATAATTTTTGCAATCAGATAATCAAGTGAATCTGAAAATAGTTTCCTATTTCAAGTGTTTATATTACATATTAATCAGTTATGTTATCTGGTGAATTACATTTTCAACTCAAAAGGTAGGGATCCTAGTTTTGTACAGTTAAAAGATAGAGATGTATACCTGTCTATAAATGTGTATGAAGATAAGTTTTTACCTCTTATTTGTTCAACTTACCTTTTCTTGTGCTGATAGTATGTTGATTTAATTAAAGGCTAAAGCTAAGAGGCTTTATGCAATATTTAAATAGGAGTTCTAGAAGTAATCATCTGGGTGAGTATGGATATTGTGCAGCTTTGGCTATAGGCTGTATCGTCTATGTTTCATCCCTGTACAACAGAGAGAATAAGATCTGAAGCTTTTTTTATTTTTAATGTACAGATTTATTTTTTTCTACTGAATACAAGAGTTCGGTACCTAAGCACTTGCCTGTTAATTTGGTCTTTTTTCATTAGAAAATTATAATTCTCAATAATTGAGAAACCAAAAAAAAGCTCCATAGAATGGTATTTAAATGATGAAAAATCAAGAAATAATGGGGATATTTTCCTAAGAGACATGTTTCATATCTTTTTTTTTTGGTTTAGCATAATTTGGGGAAGACATTTTTTTCTCAATTCTTAAAGATGATAAGTTCCTGTAAGATTTAGATTCACTTTTGTGGTAAAAGTAACCAAATTTTGATGGCTTTTCAATACCTATAACTGTCTAAAACGGACACATTTTCCTTTTTTGTGTGTGTGAAGATTGGCCCTGAGCTAACATCTGTTGCCAATCTTCTTCTTTTTGCTTGGGGAAGATTGTCATAGAGCTAACATCTGTGCCCATCTTCCTCTATTTTATGTGGGATGCCATGATAGCATGGCTGGACAAGCAGTGCTAGGTCCATACCCAGGATCCAAACCTGTGAACCCCGGGCCACCAAAGTGGAGCACACAAACCTAACCACTATACCACCGGGCCAGCCTCTGGACACATTTTTACTTACAGCTATTTCCAGAAATACATGGGAGGTAGAATGCCATGTATCTGGCTTGAACGACTGGATGGTTGGTGAAGTTATTTACCAAAGTATAAAGCAATGGTAAAGGAGGTGGTTTGGAGGAAAGAGTATGATTTCAGATGTGTAGTTTGATATATCTATGTTTCCTAGGTGGAGATGTTTATGTATACAACCATACATGTAAATGTAGAGATTTACATGTGCATGGCAACAAGTGCAGAATGAATACCAAACTCCCTGGGGCATTGGAGGTGCTGGAAGGAAGGACTTCCACTTATTTCATTTATTTCTGATTTGAATTTTTGTCAACAAGTATATTTCACTTTTAGATTAAAGGAAAGAAAAGACTTAATGCTTTTTTTTTTTCCTGAGGAAGATTCACCTGAGCTAACATCTGTGCCAGTCTTCCTCTATGTTTTTTTTAACGACTGGCACCTGAGCTAACATCTGTTGCCAATCTTCTTGTTCGTTTTTTTCTTCTCCCCAAAGCCCCCCAGTACATAGTTGTATATTCTAGTTGTGGCATGTGGGACACCACCTCAGCATGGCTTGGTGAGCGGTGCCACGTCCACACCCAGGATCCGAACCGGCAAAACCCTGAGCCACTGAAGTGGAGTGCATGGACTTAACCACTCGGCCACGGGGCCGGCCCTTAATCGTCTATTTCTTATGTGGGTCACCACCACAGCATGGCTGCTCACGAGTGGTATAGGTCCACGCTTGGAAACTGAACCCGGGCTGCTGAAGCAGAACAAGCCAAACCTAACCACTAGGCCACAGGGCTGGCCCCAGACTTGATGCTTTGACATCAAAGAGACTTGGATTCAGTATAGATGACATATGGCAGCCTGAACCAAGGCAAATGTGATGGAAAACGGAGGGATGTGGGGAAAAAATTAAGTGCTACTTTCTCAAAAGACAGTCTGTCAAGTAAGATATTTCAAAGTAAAAACAAAAAAGAGCCTATTAGTTAAAGCTTGTTTGTTCTGGGCTTGATAGACTGAGCTTACGAAAATCACCTTTTGGAGGCAGTGCATTAAACCACATTCTACCTACAAATAAGAGGATTCTACACGTTGTGTTATCAATCATATTTAGCTTTATTCCCATGATGAGCACCACCCAGAAAAATCATTCCCTATTTTAACAATGATAAAACCTTTAGCAAAGATGGTATTTGCTTTTAAGAGGAGATAACTTTGCTTCTTGTTTTGGCTGTTTAGGGGGCATCTTACTATTTAACACTTAAACCTAAAAGTCACAGAATTTCATAACATATTTATTGATTTGGCCTTGGCTTATTGTGTAAACCATTCAACAGCCAAAAGTCTGACTTTAAACATCTATTTAGATGTATTTACACTCAGACATGTTTTCTTCTCCATTAACATGGTTGTTCAAAACAGTTGATTTTACTTTACAGCTAATAAATATAAATTAATATAATATTACAGTAGATATTATATTAACCTCAGAATCTTAAGGTTCAGTGTCAAAAACCGCTAATTCGTAGAAAGCAACAGCTTGTAGTAATGAATCGTACAGCTCTTCCACCCTGTGTTGTTCAGTAGATGAAAACACCTGCCTGTAGTGGACTATCTTATCTGATGGGAAGAGCACGCGAGGCTCCTTCAGCACAGACTCGGAGAGGAACTGCTTCACGAGTTCTCTTCCACTAGTCCGTGTGTCCCCGATCATCAGGTCAAAGTGCTTGCCCACGGCATTCCGGGTCATGCTCAGCACCTGATGCTGGCCGTCCTGGGCAAAAGTCTTATTTAATAAGGCGTACAGCATGGCTTCCATGATGTGGAAATGTAACAGTATAGGAAACAGAGATGAGTTCTGAAGTGAAAGTCCTGTTTTTTCCAGAACATAGAAGTCAGCTTTAGGTATCTTTGAAATGACTGAAGAAATCTGTGAAAAAGAAAAAAAAGACAGAATAAGTGAGCAGAAATAATTCATCAAGTTTTATTGTTTGGGTCCTCTCTCTGTCCCACTTCTACTTTGAAATTCTATAACTTAAATTATATTGCTACTGACAATTGTGAAGTCATTGAAAAAGCCGTTTAGAGGGGAGCCAGGACAGCCAAGTTCCGGTCATGGTTCTATCTGAAGCAAGCTGAGCTAAGACAAGCCATTTAGTCCTCCTAAGTACTAGTTTCTTCATCTGTAAAAATGGGCTTCATAATTCCTAAAATCTCTATAGGCTTTAAGATTAGACAACTTAAAACAGTTTCATTAACCTTTTAGAAGTTTCCAGGGTAGAGCATAGGGTTAGAATAACCAGCCTAGAATCAGTTACCTCTGCAACTGATTAAGCACACCCGATGCTTGATTGAACCAGTCTTCTTAGGCATGATCAGATAATTTCTGCCCGTCTCCCAAGGTGTCAGAGACTCAAATGAGACAGTAAGTGATCGTATTTTGAAAAATAAGCTTTATAAATACCACGAGGAAGTTCTGTAACATTTGAATACAACAGTCCCCCCTTATTCGTGGGGGATACACTCCGAGTCCTCTGGTGGACACCTGAACCCACAGATAGTAAGGAACTCTATATATACTGTTTTTTCCTGTATATACTTACCTATGAGGAAGTTTAATTTATAAATTAGGCACAGTAAGAGACTAACAACAATAACTAATAATAAAGTTGGCTTTAGGCCATTACTAAGTAAAACAAGGGTTATTTGAACACTAGCACTGCGATACCAGGACAGTCAGTCTGAGAACAGATGGCTGCCAGGTGATTAATGGGCGGGTAGTGTATACAGCGTGGATACGCTGACAGAGGGACGATTCAAGTCCCAGGTGGGACGAAGCAAGATTTCATCACGCTACTCAGAACAGCACACAATTTAAAACTTACGAATTGTTTATTTTTGGAATTTTTCCATTTAATATTTTCAGACTGCGATTGACCACAGGTAACTGAAACTGTGGATAAGGAAGGACTCCTGTAATATACTTGACCACTGATTTTCCCAGTATGTGTCTTTGATACATAAGGCATTTCTTGAACTAAATGAAGAAAGATTCAATTTTTAAAAATCATAGGTAACAGAAAACCTAATAGGAATGCGTGAATAATAAGTACCAAAAGAAAATCTATCCTTACTATTTTATTACATTCCTTTTAGAATGAGAAGATTAAACAACACCAGGAACTCTGGCAGGTAGGAATTTGGAGGTGCAACTGCCTTACCTCTTTTAAGTAGACAGATGATGTGTATGTTCCTTTCGTCAATCGGCAGCATTCATTTTGCTGCCAGTCCAACACCGCCAATTTACGATCAAGGTGAGCCCAGGCAATTCTTCGAGTACCAAAAACAATGGATACGATACTATTAACTGCCTAAAACAAAAAGGCTAGTTTAATTATAAGTGTAAACATTTTAATAGATAGAAAATTTAAGCTACAAACTCAGAATGCCAAATTAGTTTCTGTAATAGAAATATATTTACGGTTTATGAAGTGATAATTGTTAAAGAAATGCAGGAGTAAGTATGATTAAAAGATAACCAGGAGCAGTCAGCTCATAGACAGTGAGCCTTGTTCTCAGCACCCAGCTCAGAGTAGGCATTCAAATATTCAAATGTTGCTGGGGACTGCTGGATACTGGGAAACAAGGAACATAACCAGACATCATGAGAAATGCAACAGTGACACCGTAGAGAGGAGAAACGGTCAGGGAAGACGTACTGAGGGATTGGAGAATGAGTTAAAATGGTAAACGTGAAGTTATTTCACCTAGCTGTCTGCAAAGCAGCTCTTTGACCTCATACTCGGGCACTGGAAAAAAGAGCCATCACGAAAGGGGCAGGGGGGCAGGCAGATTTCTGCAGAAAGCAACTTGCTTTACCCTGAGTTACAGGGAGCCACCCAAGCATGTAACATTCAAGCATAACATGAGAGTTACATTTCAGAAAGATCACCGATGGCTGTGTGGGAGATGGACCAGAGGAGGCTGGACTAGAGGTGGGGATTTGTGTTAGGTCCCTATTATAGGACAAAGTATTAAGAATCTAAGGGGCCAGCCCCGTGGCTGAGTGGTTAAGCTTGGGTGCTCCGCTTTGGCAGCCCAGGATTCACTGGTTTAGATCCTGAGCATGGACCTATGCACAGCTCATCAAGCCACGCTGTGGCAGCATCCCACACAGAGGAACTAGACTGACCTACAATTAGGATATATGACTATGTACTGGGGCTTTGGGGAAAAAAAGAAAAAGAGGAAGATTGGCAACAGATTTTTAGCTCAGGGCCAATCTCCTCACCAAAAAAAAAAAAAAAAAAAGTCTAAGACAGTGATAGAAGGACAAGAAACAGATCAGAGATAATAGAAGTAAAAATGATACGCAAGATGAAGGAGGAGCCTAGAATAACTCCAGTTTTATGAGTGACTATATGGCATCTTTAATCA